GACACATCTCGGGATGCTGGGGCAGTTACTGCAGGGGCTCTATGAATTCAAACCAAATTTGGGACGCACCGAGCAATTATTTTTACTTTGTGGGTGGCCCCTGGTGAGGTTCTCTGCGCTGCTTGAAGGGACGATCGGGCCCACTGTGCCAGAGCTGCCAAGGCAGAGCGCTTCATTCAGAGCAGTCTCTAGGTGGGTCCCCAACTTTGGGATCTGATGGCGATGTGCAAAAAGCAGACATAAAAGGCCCTTATTGCCCTGGTGCAATGATGGAAAACATCAGAGATGAACCCATAGAGACAGAGAGTAGGACAGTGAGATTGGGTGAATGCACCCCTCACTGTGTATTACAGCAGCCCAGGAAAGCTGAAGGTGGAAGGTATGTATCACTGGGTGCTCCCTGAATACCTGGAACATATGCCCTGGGCCAGCAGGAGAAAACCGTGCACAGCAGTGGCTTCTCCAGACGCCTGTGTGGGAGTTGGACAGAGCTACTCTGCCATTGGGCTATGCCCCCAGCTCTTTTTATTTTTTTATTTATTTATTTTTTGGTCTTTTTCTTATTTATCGGTTCCGGGGATCGAACTCACGACCGCCTGCTTGCAAGGCAGGTGCTTATGCCACTGAGCTAAATCCCCAGCCCCACCCCCAGCTCTTTTTGAGATAGGCTTTTTTGTCTTTTTTTGGTACCAGGGATTGAACTCACGTCCTCATGCTTGCCAGGCAGGCACTTGTGCCACTGAGCTAAATCCCAGGCCCAAGACAGGCTTTTGCTAAACTGCCTAGACTGGACTTGAGCTCATGATCCTCCCTGCCTCAGCCTCCCAGAGATCTGGGATTACAGATGTTCATCACAGGCCTAGCTTTACAGCTGCTGTGTCAATGCTGTCACTGAAACAGCTCTGTAGGAGCTGGGGATTTGGCTCAGTGGTGTAAGCCCCTACCTGGCAAGCACAAGGTCTTGAGGTCAGCTCTGTAGTCACCTCTGATTGATGGGCAGAGTCACCTGTTTTGGGACACGAAGCTTGACTCAGAGAGCGACACATTTCCCCTGGAAATAGACCAGAGGGAAAGAAGCTAAGATTGAACCCCACATGCTTCATATTTGTCTGTCTCTAGAATAAGCTGTTCATCGCTCCATTCGCCTTTCCATTAGGAGCTGGGCCCTGTACCCCTGAGAACGATGATCCACACAGATGACAGTAACACCAGGCAAATCCAAGTGGCTGGAGCCACACCAGGCCTGCCCAGTCCTTCACATGGATCAGTTCATTTCAGGCTCTTATTACCCCCCACCCCATAGTGCTACCATGGCCATTTTTTTTTTTTTATTTTAAAGGGAATAAAATAAAACATAAAATGAAACAAAATAATGAGAATGATATTGGTAAAAACAAGACAGTAGGGAGGCCGGGGATTTAGCTCAGCGGTATAACCACCACCTGCCTTGCAAGCAGGTGGTCGTGAGTTTGATCCCCGGTACAGATAAAAATTAAAAAAACAAAAAAAAACAGTAGGAAATCCACAATAGTTACTATATTGCATATTGTTACCCTATAAATAGATGCTCAGATTACCAGTTTAAAGGCTGGAGCAGAACCATCTCCAGATTTATGTGCCAACACAGTCAGAACTTGCAGTTGTGAGCTCGCCAGGGGATGCTCACAGGGCTTTCCCTGCGGCCACACCACTCACAGCGCCACATGGGGTTCTAGTGAGTATGGCTGGCCAACAGGTGTCAAGTGCGCACCTCTGTTTCTCCCTGCAGCACTGAGGCTCTACCCCAGCGTGTGGAGAACCCACATCACCGTTGAACCACTCCTCAGCTCCATGGCGCCATCTTTCAATCTAGTCACTGAGGTCACCTGGTGTCAATTCTACCTTAAGGTAGCACCCAAGCAGCCTTGAAAATCTTCCCAAGTTTAAAGGGAGCTGTGTACACCCCATCTTTTAATGACAGGATTGGCATCATGGCATCACGGAGGAGCGCATGGTATCTGATGAAGAATTTGCATCTAGAAAATATATAACGAACTCAAAATTCAGAAATAAGAAAATCAAATAAAAAGAGACAGAAGACTTAAACATACATTTGACTAAAGATTGCAGGGGTGGCGTATGTAGCTCAGTGGCAGAGTGCTTACCTAGCATGCATGAGGTCCTGGGGTCCAGTGCCCCCCCCCCCAGATACGTGTGCATGCACAAGGAATGTACACAATAGTAAATCAACAGTTAAAAAGATACACAGTACTGTCAGTCATTAGAGATGCAAAATAGAATCACCATGAGACAATGCCACACCCCGGACAGAACGTCTCTAATAAAAAAGTGTTGGTACCTGTGTTTTAAAGAACGACCACTTTGGAAAACAGCTAGTAGTTCATTTGTTTTTGTTGTTTTGAGACAAAGTCTCACTGTGTATTCCAGCTGGGCTTGCACTCACTACACAGCCCAGGCTGGCCTTGAACTCATGGTGATCCTTGTGCTTCAGCCTCCTGAATGCTGGGATTACAGGTATGTGCCACCATGCCTGGCTTGTCTTTTTTTTTTTTTTTTTGGTTTTTTTCATTTTTATTGGTACCAGGGATCGAGCTCACAACCGCCTGCTTGCAAGGCAGGCACTTATGCCCCTGAGCTAAATCCCCAGCCCCTCCTGGCTTGTCTCTTGTTGGTTTTACTGATGCTGTCTTTTGTGAAGGGCCCTTCTAGTCTTGTGCACATTTTGTGTTGGTTTGACTTTTTCTCTTTAAAAGATTTGTAGGAAGGCTCCATCAAGTCCGAATGGAAATCTTAACTTTTGAGTTTGGCGCTCTCTTTGCTCGTTTTTGTTTTTAGTACTGGGAATCAAACTCACGACCTTGTACAAGTCCCTCTCTTCACTCCTGTTAATGGCACCTTTTGATAAACAACTCTTTGATTTGAAATATATATCAACTTAGTTTTTCTAACATAATTGGTTTACTTATTTTGCTTTTGGTGGTATGGGATTGAACTCAGGGCCTCATGCGTGGTAAGCTTCAACCCCCGGCCTGCCTTTTCTTCTTTATTTTTGCTTTGTTTTTTGGTGTTGCATTTAAAATGATTAGATGATGGTAAAGGTGGGGGCTGACTTGACTGGCCCTGCAATCCACTAGGGACATTTACCAACTCCTTTCTTCTTGGGGGAGGGCGGTTCTGAGGGATTAACTCAGGGCCTCCTCACTGTGCTGTATCCCCAGCCCTTTTTCATTTTGAAAGAAGGTCTTGCTAAGTTGCTAAACTGACGAGGCTGGGCTTGAACTCATAATCCTCCTGCTTCAGACTCTGTTGTGAATGGCCAATTCCAGAATGCTGGGATTACAGGTATGCACCACCATGTCTAGGTTTTTTTTTTTTTTTTTTTTTTGAGTATGAATTTACTGTTAATGTCTTTTCACCATCAATACTTATGATCTTGGTCCTCCCTTCTTGCCTTTGTAGAGAGCCAAAAGAGAGAGACATTGGCTACTGTAACACCTTTAAAGTGGACTCCAGGAATGTCACCAACAGCCTGACCTTTTTGATCAAACCCAGCAACCAGAACTTCATTGTTTTCTTCAATAAAATTCCAGCACCCATCATCAGGGACAGAAGCTGTGATTTTCTTCCTGTTCTGGATCAGCTGGGCCCTGACACGCTTCCTGATGCAGAATTTGGCTGTGTGGCTTCAAGCCCTACTTTTTCCAGCAGGATACGCTGGCCTTCAGGGCTATGCACAGCTGGGCCTTCTCATACTGCATATCGTGACACTTCAGTGCACAGACCGCGGTACCTGCCCAACCTGCCAATGCAATGGCCTAGATAGCCCAGGCTGGTCTCAAACTTGCAGTGAGGAGATCTTCCTGCCTCAGCCTGCTGAATGTTGGAATTACAGACGTGGCCCACCATGCTTTTATTTATTTATGGTACCAGGGTTCAAAACTCATGATCTTGTACTTGCCAGGCAGGCACCATACCACTAACGTATATCCCTGGCCCTGTTTTACTTAACTAATAATTTGTATATCTAAAAATTTAATCCCCCCACCTCCCCAAGTGCTGGGATTACAGGTGTGTGATCCATCACACCTGGTTGGTTTGTTTTGTTTCTCTCTCTGTCTTCTAAGACCAAGTTTTACTATGTTGCCCAGGCTGGTCTCAAAACTCATGAGCTCTAGTGAATCCTCCTACCTCAGCCTCCTGAGTGCTGGGATTACAGGTATGCATGATGGGCTCATCAATATCCTTTAGGACAAAACAGGATTCTTTGCTGGGCCCTCCTGGTTACCATGGCCCTGCAGTCTCCCCGGGCCCAGAGCAGCTCTCCTGCAGCACCTTTCACTCTAGGGAGGGGAGCTCCTCAGCCTGGGCTAGAGTTAGGCCCTGCATTTTGCAGGAAACACATCAGGATATCCTGGTGCCCGGACCAGGAGCCGGAGGTGTCTGTTCAGTTTCTGGCAATTGTGACTGTGACCATGACCATGCGGTTGTGCTCAATCTGCCAGCTTTTGCTACGCTTCCCCCCACCCCCCTTTAGTTATTTATGCAGCACTACCTTGAAAATATGTGACTATCACATATTCCAAACACAAAAGAATAAACCAAAAGCTCAGAACTGTCACCCACGTTTCATCGCCTGTTGGTGTCTTGCCAGTGCCATTACTAGGGTAACCATCAAATTTCATAATCCTTTGTGTTTCCTAGCCGAAGTCTATGGACTGTCTCATTTGTCACCATGCCCGGTTGTCTCTTCTTTTGAGAGCCTGGGGACACTACCTTGTCAGCCTTGTGACTGTAAGAATCTGCTCTACGATACACAGGCTTCCCCTGGCCCCCGCTGTTAGTATTAAGGATTGAACCCAGGGCCTTCACACTGAGCTACATCTCCAAGTGCTTTTTAGTTTTTACAGTCTCACTAAGGCACTGAACTGTCCGGGCTTGGCTGGAACTTTTGATCCTCCTGCCTCCGCTGTGCTGAAATTACAGGCATTTACCACAACGTCTGGCTTGGGATAGGTTTTTATTTATTTATTAATTTTCCCCCCAAATCCATTTTATTCAAGGATAAAAAGAAAAAAAGAAGAGGAAGAATAGCAAGAGGAAGAGGAGGAGGAGGAGGAGGAGGAAAAACTACAACAAAATTTCTAAGCACATTGATTGGGGCAACAGTGGTGCATACACTGCACAATCACTTACCCACAGCACAAGGCGCGGGCCTTCCACTGTCCCAACAGCACCTGCACAAACCTCTCTTCAGGCTGAGCTTCTTAGGTTCAGATTTCAGCAGATGGCCTGAGTGATGGGCAGCTCTGTGAGGCCTCCAGGTGAGACGCTCAGATACGCCAGTATCTCTTTCCCCCTCAGCCCTCTGCCGGGGTCCTTGGGCCCTGGCCAGAGAAACGCAGGGGGCCTCTGTCCACTCCCCTGGCCACGGTCCAGGCCTTTAGTCACTGGGGCTTCTAGGGCTCACTCACACCGCACAAATCACTGGTTTCTCTAGGCTCTCTAGCTGTGCTCTCTGGCACCATTATTGAGCCATAAATAGTCCACGACATCCAGCAGTGAAGTTGAATTATACCCGCGGGAAGCATTTACAGACAGAATTTCCAGTCCGGAGAGTGCGATGATGCGGTTAATCTATCTTGGTCTTTGCTCACTGTTTTGCTTAGAACTGAGGCCAAGTCATCTCTGCACAGTGACAATGCTTCTCCCTAGAGTGCTTGTCTCACAGGGCTGGACTCTGGTCTCCGGCTCTCTCCTGTAGCACGCATGTCCAACTCAGGCTCCAGCAGGCCACACACACCTCTGCGGCTCAGGGCCAACGTGTTCGTTCATGGCCTGTCGCTCTGCTTGTTTCCTTGCGGTGTTTGTCTTTTCATGAGGTGGCAGCACATCTGTACTTCCCGTGTCCCCTGTACTCCTGGAGATGCGTGGCTAAGTGACCCTGGAGTTGCTTCCAGCAGGCAGCCAACCCCGCTGCCCCTCAGCTGCCTCAGACCCCTCCCTTCCTGGTTACAGCCTCAGCCTGAGTCCCATGCGTGGTGCAGGGCAGCCCTGAGGCTAACAAGGTCCCACCTGTCTGCTGAGTCACCTGCAAGTTAGTGCCTGTGGCTTAGGTGTGCCTTCTGGCTTTCCTGGAGGAGATGGGTCTGGCCCAGACAGCCACACCTCTCACTGTGGACAATGCTAGTCCTGCCACCAGGGGCACCCACTACTGTACCACACCACCTCCTGTCACAGTGTGGGCGGAAGCACAGGCCCCCACTTTCTGACCTGTGTGCTGAGCCTACTCACCCTAGCCTCTGGCCTCCCGCCCTCCCTCACTCCCAATCTGTGTGGCTCTGGCATAGCACCTGCCCCTCCGAGGGCCTCAGGTCCTGGAGGAGGACTTCATTCGGCTCCTGGGAACCCTGCTCAGCTGGCTGTGCCCACATTAGGAGGCAGAGAGCAGGGTGGCGCGACAGAGGGCTGAGGGTCTCTTTCTCCTGCAGGCTCCCAGATCTGGACTTCAAAAATCCAGTGTCTTCCGTTTTCCTTTGTGATCTGCACTTTGTGTTAAAGTGGAAGTTGGGCATGGCAGTACACCCCTGAAATCTATGCACTTTGGGAGGCTCAGGCAGGATGATAAATTGGAGCCAAACACATGCAATATAGTGACTTAGGGAGGGCTTGTCTCAAAATAAAGGCAGCCCTGGGTTAAATTCCCAGTTCAAACCACACACACAACTGAATCAATGATAAAAAACCCAAATGTCCCAGCTTTTATGGCTGATGAGGGTAAAGACAGCTGCTGCTGTGTGGGACAGCAATGTCCCACCTAAGGGAGAAGCTGGACCTGTGCCATGAAGTTGGGGGCCAGCTGCCCAGGGGGTTCCACTACCCTGTCACTCGCCTTTCAGGGAGACAGCAGAGGAACCGCCGGAGGGCATGAGCTGTGCTGCAGGTCAGGAGGCTGGGGCCCAATGGAGGGGGACGGGCGTGGAGACCCCCCAGAATCTCCCCAGGCGTTGGCCTGTGACCCTTCTGGTACACATGTGCCTCCAACACTCCTACCCAGTAACTATCCAGAAAGGTCTGTGTACTGTATGCCAAGCAGTCTGATTAGACCCAGCCCAAGGTCTGGAGCACAGGAGAAACACACTTTAAAGTCCTCAAAGGAACAGAGGAGACCAGAGAGACCTGGGCAAGAGCACCAGGCTGGGTACTGCTCTGCCGGTGCCAGCCCAAGGCTGCACAGTGACAGAATGGAAGCTTCCCTGTCCCTGCACAGGTGACCTTTCCACTTGTGGGGCAGAGCACCCTAACCCGCACAGCGCTCCGTTCCCGTTCAGATGGTGGGTGATTTGCAAGGGACCTGCGCACAACATGCTGTACACTTTACGTCACCTCTGTGTTCCTTACAATGCCTACAACCATGCTAGGGCTATACAAACAGCTGTGCTGTATTCTTCAGGGAACAACGATGGAGGAGTGCACACTGACCCCGAGCCTGGTCCCTGCTCCCCGTCTGCCCACAGGTGTGTCACTCAGGAGAGCAGAGGAACAGGCCCTGGTTCCAGGCCCCAGCAACCTCACAAGGCTTCCAAAAAGAGGGCACAGCTGACAAGGGCCTCAACCCTGCACCCCACTTCCAGAGCTTAGACCCAATCCGGGCAGCCTCTCCTAGATGCCGAGGGCTTCAGCCACCATTCTCCTTACACAGGGGCTCCAGACAGGGGAGCCCCTGTGCTTGGGACTCAGGAGGCCCCCCAGTCCATCTCCTTCCCTGTTCTCTTCACCACCTCCCCTAAGGCACAGGCCGTCTCTTAAGTGACAGTGCCGACATGGACTGCAGGGGTCCTGGGCTGTGCTTCTTTCTCACCATATACTGGACCCGCCTGCTTCAAGAATCCCTCCGCCAGGACCGGGCAGACCTGCCAAGCGAGTCACTTCTGACAAGAAAGTGCCCATCAGCTCTGCCCATGCAGAGGCAGCAGACCGAGCCATTCCGGGGGAGCCAGCCCAAGTCGGCCCTGCAGGGCTTCCTGCGGCACTCAGTGGGCTCGGGGAGGGCACGGTTCAGGTCCATGAACTTCAGCCAGCTGAACAGAGGGTTGGAGGCTCCTCCCAGTCACCACAGAGAAGATTTAACAAGTACAAACCTGCAAACTCTTTATTAAATTCTCCCATTTCATCTGTACAGAAAAAAATGCACATTATGTTCAGAATCTCAGTAACATCTCAAAATTACACAGCATGAACATGTAAAAACAAGGAACTGCCAGGATTCTGTACATAGAAAGGAAACCCATTTACAAAAGAGGCTTGTTAATTGTACTTTTTTACTTTCAAAAAAAAAAAAAAAAAAAAAAAAACCCAAACACAAACACACACAAAAACCAAAAAAAAAAAAAAAAATTCCGAGGCCCAAGATCTCACGCGGCACTAGTGCACACCCAGCCTGCTTTCATGCCAGGACCAACCGGGCTCGGGGTGCAGATGTCGCGCCTACACTGGGGAATGGCAAGACACGACCCAGAGGAGCAGGCCACACTTCCTCCTCGCCTGGCAGGAGACCCCCACTGGGACCCTGCCCCCGCCAGCCTGTGTGGACGGCCTGTTTGTGCTCTCGGTGATACAGTCCCCTTCCTGTGTCTCCACAGCAGTCTTGGCGGATGGCTCAGGTGGGGGGAGTGTGTCACCCAGCAGTCCACTCACCCACTGACTGAGGCCTGGGTGGGAAGGGGGATGTGCCGCAGATGCCATTGCTCTGATGTGATCCTGGCGGAGGGACCGAGGCGGAGTGTGGGAAGAGGGTGGCAGAGCGGCCGAGCAGAAGGAGGGGAGGCTGGAGTGTCGGACCTGGCCTGGGCCTCCTGGGAGCCAAGGCCAAGGCGCGGACAGCTGGGCTGGGAGCTGGCTCTGAAGGCCCCCAGGAGCCATACTTCATAAACCCACTCAGGAGTGCTCATACGGCACGTAGGAGAGGGAGCATTCCGAGCTTTGAGATGTTTCTAACTCATAAGGAGCTGAAATCCAAGTAAACATACTAAGCTGCATGTAATCCACAAAGCTGCATTCTTTTTGTGGTTCTGTGGCTACAACATGGGGTGCAGGGCTGGCTGACTTCTGAGAGCTAAGTGTCCTTACACACCGAGATGGGTGCACGCCGAGAAGGCCGTTTCGTGACGGGGCGTGGAGGACGGGAAGGGAGGGCTGCTGCAGGAGCACACTGGAGACCAGCTAGGAAACGAGGCGCGGCAAGCCCTCTCCCCACTGTGCCTCATTACTGGGCACCTTCAGGACAGGAGTGCTACGGCAGACCTGCAGCTTGCGAGCACCGACAGCAGAAGTCACAATGATCCACCTCTCAGGAAGGTCTAAGGCCTTAACTACATAATTCCCAAACCGCCTGATAAAATGCAAATGGCAGTGTCCTCACCAGTGGGTTCTTCTATCAGTTGAGCTCAGGTAATCGGAAGACATGAAATCTGACAATGACTTTCTATTACATTTCCCAGGGAAGTGTCCCCGGACCCAAGTTTCTTACCATCTCCCAGGAGAGCAGGCACAAAATGAGACAGCACCTGCATGAGCTCCTGCCAACACCTGCTAGCTCATCGCCCCAGATTCCCCTCGCATGTTGGGATGAACTCACGGCCTCAGACAGGCCAGCTGGACCCACAGACCCAGACCTGGGAGTGGCAGCCACAGGCCTCCCCGGAATGCTGTGGACGAAGGCTTCCTGCGACACAGACCTGCGATCTGCTATGGCTCTCCTGTGGGTACACTCTGCTACAAGGCCTGCCGTGGGACAGGAGCGATGGCAGGGAAGTCCAGGGATGCACCAAGGGAGGAAACATCTCCCTCCCTTCTGTGGGGGAGTCCTGTCCCCAGCATTCTGTTCAGATTTCTGACCCCCACCCCCACCCCTGCCCAGTGCCTCCCGTCCTGGTGCCAGGCTCGAGAAGTCCTGGAAGGAAGCAGACTGCTAAGAGTCTCTGAAACAGTGGCATGAGCGGGCAAGGCCAGACGACAGTGACCTGGTTGCTGTAATTTTTAGCAAGCACCCGGAGCTATGGCCATGGCCCAAATCCCATCAGAAACTCACATTTTTGTTCATGGGCTAGATATCAGGGGCAAAGACAAAGACCAGAGCCCCCATGCCTCATGACTGGCTCTGTGATGACAAACGAGGTGTAAAACAGGTCGGCCTGGGTGGCCAGTGCAGATGACGGCGGGTCCCCTGGGCTAGGAAAATATGCTCACGACCTTTCCAGTCACAGGAAACCGCTCCAAAGAAGACAGTGCAGACTTTCTTGTAACAAGCAATTCCAGATACCAGCAGCATTATCCTTTCTATTCTATTTCTAAATGTGACAAATGTTTTACAAATCAAATCATCAAACCTCCCAATCTGCTGCAGACTGCTAAGGGGATTTCCTGTCAGTTCAGAAAGAACACAAATATGGAGATTCAACCAAAAGGATGCTTTACACAGAGACAGGCAACAACATTCCTCCCCCCAGAAAACCGGAGTCCTATCCTGAAAAGCACACTGCAGTAACGCCTGCACCCCCACGGAATGCCCCAGGCAGGGGGCCTTCTGGGCCAGCTCAGCTCAGTCTGCAGAGCATGCAGTCAGCGTGGTGCTCGCTCTGCAGCATTTCAAGTCTCATGAGACTGAAGAATCTCAGGATAGTTGCTGAGAATCAGGAAGACCCTAAGAGCAGGACTCGGGGACCAGGTGGCTTACAGCTTTCCTTAGTGACTTGTACTACCTAGGCTGGCAACATACAGCTGGCTCGTGGAATCTTCTGCCTCTAGGAAAGGCAGCAAAAAATCAAAGGAAAGGAAAGAAAAACAAAACCACAGTATTCAAAGGTACATCAGTCAGGTCAGATGAGGAGCGTTTGGATCGCCCGATCCGCAATGGACACAGCTGGTACTGGACAGACTTAGAGGAAGACAGATGTTGCTCAGGTGCCGGCACTTGTGGGCTGTGCCAAGCGGGAGGAAGAGGGATGCCGTGAGGGGCCTGGGTCTACAGGGACAGTTTTAGGCACGTGATTTATAATACTTTGTGGACAACTAACAGGTTAATAAAATATATATTATATAAATATATCTCCTACTGTACACACTGCCCTCCTGTGCAGCCACCGTGACGCTATGGCTCCAACTCAAGCAAAGGTGAGCCAGACTGAGCCTCGATGCCAGGCCCCTCTGTCCTGGGCCTCAGACCTGTCACCTCCACACAGGAGGGACAAGGGAGAATGGCCAGGAACGGTGCCCCTGTGAAGCTCTGGTTCCAGAACGGTTGGTGAGTCACCGAAATGCTAACCTTAGCCAGTGCCTACCAGGGTGTGCACGCAGCAGACAGAGAGAGAGAGAGAAAACGGACAGGTCCTCCGTCCTTTATGTGAGCGCTTGCCACACTCTCCCACGGGCACAAAGAAGCCCGTCTGGGAATCTGGAGTGAGTGGGGACGCTGGGCAGGACCCCAGGCCCCTGAGGCCACGCTAAATCTCTACAAACCACTGTCTCTGACCTGTACTGCAGTGGGAAACATATAGCCACGCGGGGGTGGCCCCTGCTCTCCTTGTGCCCTGCCTTCCTCACCCTGTTTCGCGGGATCCTGCTACCCAGTCACTGCTTCTGGAGGCAGAGAACGTCTAGAGCAACGGCACCGCCAGCAGGGCTGACCTCTCTGGGATGGTCGCAGTGTCCTGGGGAGGAAGGGGACGGCTCCTGCTGCCTGCTCACTCAGAATCCAGCCTCTCTCTGCAGATCCACGGATAGGCCCACATCATGACTTTCTCAGCCGCCCCCGTTCACCTGCCCTCAGCCCGGGGAGGCGCACACGGCTCATTTAGGTGATAGCTGGAAGCAAACAAGATCCAAATCAGGCTGGCTAGTGGCTTCCAGCCAATACTCAGTGACGTCCCCGGCCTGGCACGGCCCGACGGTGCTACTGGGAGATGAGCTAGACATCTCAGTGACTGCATGCTGGGCATGAGTGCCCTCTCCAAGTCCTGCCTTCATCTGATGAAGCTACATGGAAGAAATAACCCTGCTGCCCAAGTCAAGCCTGGAGGTGTGTTATTACACACAGTTTTTTCTTTCTTTAAAAACTTCTTTCCTTTTTTTTGGTAGTTTTTTTTTTTTTTTCTTTAAAAAAAAGCATTTGAGTTGCAGGTCAGGTGAGTTGGTTCTGGAAGAATCGGTAGTTTAGCTGAAGAAGAAAGACTTGTCTACAGGCAGGTAAACCCAAGTTCGCCAAAGGCAATCACCAAAGTGGCCAGCTGTGGACACTGCACAGACGGCGGCAGAGGAGGAGGAGGACACCGTGGGCATGGCCGAGTCTGGACGGGACAATGCAGTGGGCACCTGCTGCTGCTCTACCATAGGTGTTGGTGCCACTTCTTAGAAGGATGAAGTGAGAGGATACACTATACAGGAGGGGCTGTACAAACCGGGCACTGGGCAGGGAGTTCCTTTGGTGGTCAAGGCGCCTCTACCTGTCCTTGAGCTCTCGTGTCACTCGCTTGGTGATCCGTCCACACATCAGGCCGATCAGGAACAATATGCAGATGCTCCCACTGATCACAGACAAGATGTAGTTCTTTGATGGTGATGTCATCACTTGCATGGCTAGGTCAGAGAAGCCATCTGCTGGGGCCACCTGGAAGAAGACACAGCAGTGTGACTCTGGGGGACAGTACGCAGCTGACCAGTGCTCAGTCTCACGTGCTATGCAGTCTCATGTGCTAAGAAGAGGCACAGTTACTCCAGTTCCTTCACAGTGACCACCACTGCTAACACACGAACAGCCCCTGAGGCTTTGGACGTGACTACATCTGCCAGGGCAAGGGCTCGCAGGATTCCACCTGTGTCCTATTCACCCCAGACCCCGAGGTGCCCATGTCAGAAGAAGACCTGTGGATGGGGGTGGCTTGAAAACTGGTCCAAGGCCTTGGGGAGTCTCCTGGGTTTTGATTTATGTTCTCGCTCTTTTTTTTTTTTTCCTGGTACCCGGGATGGAACTCACAACCAAACAACTGCAAGGCAGACGCTTATGCTGCTGAGCTAAATCCCCAGCCCCTGGATTTATGTTCTTCATCATGTTTGCTGTGATTTGAAACAGATACATTGAAGCTGAGATGCATGTTCTCTCTCGTCTTTACTTACTGTTACTTCACAATATGCAGCCATGACCCAGATGGGCTAAAGCCCTAGATCAGATGCCCCTGCATCACTTGGATAGTCTGGTCACTTTTCACCCTGTTCCTGTGCCTTCTCCTGTGGACCCCTGCACAGCCTGCTATAGTACAACTAGGACCAAAAGGTTCTGAGAGCACAAGCAAAGCTGTTTCCTGAGCCTCAGCCTGGGTGTCTGGAAGGGCCTGGACCAGAAACACCTGAGCCGCTCCTTTGTTTGCTGGGATGGACACAGAACAGAACCGGGCAGTGCAGGGGTAGTGAGGTTTGAGAACCCCCACTTCCAATACAAAACGAAGCACACCCTGAGTCACTCTGGCCCCAGGAAGCAGTGTGAAGGAGCAAACAGCAGAGCAGGAAGAACGGACAACGCAGTGTCGTCCGCTGCTTCATGGGGGACATTTCTCTCTTGGAAGAAGTGGCAGGGCTAGGGGCTGGCTTTTGTGACAAACATGCAAATACGATCCCTTCCATCTAGGCATGAGGACTTTTCCTAGCTTTTTTCTCTTGCGTTCTTACCCTTGATGCTTTTTTCCCTTTTGTACTAGGAACTGAACTCAGACATCATGTTTGCCAGGCAGGCCCTGTGCCGCTGAGCTAAATCCCCCTGCCCTTTTTTGAGACAGACTTGCTCAACTCCTGGGCTCAAGTGATCTCCTGCGTCAACCTCCCAAGTAACTGGGATACAAACATATTCCACAGTACCTGGCTTATCACTCTTGACCTTGAGCAGATAAGTGGTGGAACTGGCAAAGGAGCTGGCCACTGTCTTGACCTAAGGTCACTTGCCCAGTATGAGTCTATACAGAAGCATGGATCTAGAAACAAGGGACCTAGGCCAACTCACAGCCTCCAGAGACAGTTTCCTCCGTGGTAAGCAGGGAATAATCACTCTACTTACATCACTGGGCTCTGAGTTTCCAGCGGGGTGTTTTGTAAACTACAGAGCAACACGCACAGTCCTGTCTGTTGCCTCCCTGCAGCCTGCTGGCCTGTGTACCACACGTCTGGAAGCCCCCTCACCTCCTGCTGCTCCACGGCCCAGGCCAGCTGTGTGCGGCTTATGGATATAATTGGTCTCCCAAAGGCTGGGTTAAAAAAATAAGCATAAAGTCTCCAGGATTTCTTTCTTTTGTCAAGGATGTGATTTCTCTCACCAATGAGCTATATACCTGGCCTCAGCCACAGAGTTTTAAAGGGTCACTGAGACTGTTTTTCAAAATATACCTACTGATGGGTGTGATTGTGCACATCTGTAATCCCAGCACTCAGGAGGCTGAAACAGGAGTATCACTGTGTGTTCAAGACCAGCAAGGACTACAAAGTGAGTTCAAGTCGAGCCCAAACTGCACAGTGAGACCTTGTTTCAAAAAACAAAAAACATCTACAGCTTGTCTCCCTCAAGGACAAAAACAAATCCTTCAAAGAGATAGGAATTGACAGAAGAGATGGCCCCACTAGAGATCCTGGCCCTTACCTTTGCTGCATAACTCCACATTTCAATCCGGTCATTAAGGCGCTTTTTGCACTCGGGCTGTAGTCGCACTCGCTTATCTTCCAGGGCCTCCATCAAGCAGGACATTTCTGAGGGAGGAAACGGGTGAGAACAGTCTGCAACTGTGCAAACAGAGAAGGACCCCCAACTATCTGCCAATTCAGATCGTAGGCTCGAAAAGGTCAAATCTATTCTTGGGAACCTGACGCAAGGTCCAACCTGGTGAAGGGTGGGACGCAATGCTAGGGGAGGCCTCTCTTATTTTGACCAGGCTCAGAACAACTTTTACGCCTCCCCGGGTTCCCAACTCACAGAAGCTGCCTGCTGTGCCCTCAGTGCTCTCAGGGAAGCTGAGTTTGGGCAACGGTGCGAGGAGATGGTCAAGGTTAGGACTTTAGCTTGGTAAGTAACTCAATTTTCCCCCTTTACCAAATCCTTAGCTCTGGTCACGGCTAGGTGACTTCAAACCTGCAGGATTATCCCTCAACTCATTCTGCCAAGTTTCGGTGGCAGAAACCAGGCCTCCAGGGGAGGCTGCCTGAGGTGAGGCAGTGAATTTGCAACTACCCAGACAGCACAGGCAGGGCTAAGCCGGTGCAGGGACTTACGGCGCCCGCGGCCAGGAGTGATGGCCGCACAGTGGTGTTTGATGTCCAGGGCACACGCTGTGTGAAGAACAGGGTCCACAAAGATGTCTGCCTTACTCTCCTTCAGCATGTTTAACACTTCCTGAAAAGGAAGGGCGTTGTGGAGAGAGCTTTTGTAAAGGAAGCGCATCAGATCTGTTGCTTGTAAAAACTACACACACCAAACGGGGCAAGGAGTGAAGGCCCAGGAAGGCCCAGGATTAACAGCAAGAGGGGTCCATATGGCCATGAGGACCACAGTACGCTGTGGCCTCCAATTTAACCACCCTAAGGGATCCGGCACATGCCATGGACAGCTGGGGCTGGAGGATCAAATACGGATTCTTGGCATTGCTATGTCTATTTTAAAGTATCTAAATGTTTTTTTTATTGCATAATATAGTTATTTTGTACCTTTAAGAAATCTTAAAAAATTGAAATTTGAAAATCAGAGTACTAGGTCATACAGCCTCAAAAGAGAAAAAAAAGGACATAGAACATAACCTCCCACAAGAGGATTCTTTAAGGATGTTCTGAACAATGCAACTTTTAAATATGATTAAACTTTTCTTCTAATAAAGGTCAAATGTATGATTTCATTTTTAACACTGCAAGATAATGCAGGTTAGAAGGCATATTTTGATAAATTTGTTTTTATGTGATGTTTCTGAAATGAACTAAACCTTTTGTTTTTATGTGATGTTTCTGAAATGAACTAAACCTTCAGTTCTATTGACTCTCATGAATGTGCAACCCTTACTGAGAGCCTGGCACTGACACTCTGCTTCGGCAGTGCATTCACAGGGCCGGACATGGAGGTCTAGTCACAGGGTGGGACAGAGCCACCAATCCTTAGTACATCTGAGCAGAGTCACGACCCAGGGCCAAATAAGGTTTGTAAGGAGGAACAACACAGAGTGCTGACCAGGACTGGCGTGGCAGTGCAGCCTATGCCCCAGCATGGAAAGCTGAGGCAACAGGACAGCAAGTTCAAGCCCAGACTGGGCAATGCAGCAACTTAGCAGGACTCAGTCTAAAAATAAAAAGTAAAAAGGGCTTTCTGGTATTTGGGAGGCTGAGGCAGGAGGATCACTATGAGTTCAAGGCTAGCCTAGACTATATGGTAAGTTCAAGGTCAGCCTGAACTACATAAAGAGACCTTGTATCAACAATCAACCAACCAACCAACCAAACAAAAAGGGCTGGAGATTATAGTTCAGTGCAAAGGTCCTGGATTCAAGCAATAGGGGTGGGGTGGGGGGACAGTGGGTGCAGCCTTACGTGGCAAATGTCTGTAATCCTAGCACTCTGAGGAGGCTGAGGCAAGAGGAATACAAGTCTGAGTATAGCCTGGGCAAGTTAGTGCCTTCGATCTGGTCTCAAAATAAGTATCTCTGGCCAGGTGTGGTGGTGAACACCTGTAACTGCCAGCATGCGGGAGATTGTGGCAGGAGGATTACCGCGAGTTCGAGGCCAGCCTGGGCTACATAGGAAAACTCTGCCTCAAAAATGGCTGGGAATATAGCTTAGTTAGAAGACCCTGAGTTCAATCTCCAATGAATGCAAGAAAGGAGAAAGAACACTAGACAGGAAAGCTTATGTTTTTAATTTTATTACTAAGGAGTAGAGGCCAAACATTAAAAGGGAGAAAGGGAAAAAGAGGAGCAAAGCCAGGTGCAGGGATGTGGGCCTACAGTCCCAGCTCCTTGGCAGGGTGAAGCCAGAGGATCACTTAAGCCTGGAGTTCAAGGCCAGTCTGGGCAACATGGGTGTGCAGATAGACAGCTGATTAGCTGACAGACACACACACATGCCCACAGAGCGGGTGGACAGAGTGAGGGAAAACAGAAGGGGGTGGTTACCTTTTTACACATTTCTGTTTTGATCTTGAGCAGGTTGACCTTGAGACACTCCTCCACCTGACCTGTTTGCTCCTGGGCCGCTGCTTCTTCTGCGCAGAGACTGGCAATCTGCTCAGGAGAGAGGAAACAAGGCCGTCCCACTGGGCACAGAAAGGGCCAACGGCTGCCAGAGCCGAGGAGCCTGCTGCACCCAGCCCGTCCTAGACACCAGGGTCTGCTCTGGCTGCTTACTGACAGAAGCCTGGGCCTTGCAACATATGCATCTCAAATCGCTTCCTGGTGGAGCACAGCCCTGCAATGAATGCAGGTGCCCAGGCCCTGGTCTGCTGCACATTGGTCAGCATGCAGAGCTGCGGTGAGTGAATGTTCATGTCAGGCTGCCCTCAGACTTGCCATCAACCAGATTCTGTAGCAGGGAACCAGATGACCCAGCAAACATCCAAAAGCGAATGCTTAGTATTTACTGAGTTTAAAGTCAACCCAGGCTCACAACTTGGACAGACAGACATACACACACACATTCAGAAACAGCCTAGAAGCAGAGATAACAAATTTTACTTTCTTTGCACAGCTTCATGGGTAGGCATCTTTGAAGTATCTTTCGCTGTGATTTCCTACAACTGACACGTGTTGAACTCTTCACATGCTTTTTCTTGCTACGAAGTCAAATAATTTCCTTAAAGCCATTAAGAGAGCATCATTATTTTTCTGGTCTTACGGTGTTCTGAGTCCAGATATAGAATAAGGAAAGGGGAAGAACAGATAATGTGCAGGAAGTGAGAATAAAAGAATATCCTTGTTCCCTGGTATGGTGGCATACACCTGTAATTGCAGCTCTTGGGAGGCTGAGACAGGAGGATCGTTGCAAGCTTGAGACTGGCCTGGGCTATACAGTGAGCTCTGGAACAGCCTGAAGTGCATAGTAAGATCCTGCCTCATAAACACACACACACAAAAGAATACTCTTGTTCAAAACAGAATCTGGAAAAAAGAAAAAAAAAAGACAGAACCTGGGACTCAAGACAGTGGAGAGCCTGGAAGATAAGCCTGCGACTAACCAGGAGCTCCAAGCTGGAGAGAAACAAAGCACAGCAGAGAATGTTCCCCATTGTCTTCCCTAGGCCGCTCTGGCCATGGCTTCACCCCGGTGCCCTACCTCGTCTGAGCAGTGCAGCTGGAGCTGAGGGTCGAGGCGGTAATCGAGCGCCGACTCCTGGATAATGATGCGGATCTGGTCCTCGCAGTCTGAAGACAGCCGCTAGGGTGACGGAGGGACAGCTCATTAGAAAACATCAGGTTTTTGTTGAGCCCTTAGTCCCTGGCTTGGGGAAGTCTAAAAAAAGCCTTGGGAAAACAGGAGCCCGCTGGGACTCTGACAGAGGACATCCCACAGGGACTGAGGCGGCATAAGGAGCCCGGCCAGTTTTACCTGGTCAGCATATCGCAGCTTGAGGCAGGAGATAACTTGGCCTTCCAGCTCCGAATCGTCCTTGGCCTTGGTCAGGATGCCGTGACAGAATTTTGGAATGTCAGCTTTACAGGCTTTCCTCAGCACGGGGTTTAAGCGGTAGTCTAGAGCAGAAAGCAGTAAATACATCATATTTTACATCAGGACACTGCCACAAATTTTAGAAACCCATTTTTAAAAAGGGGACGAGAGCCTCAACTACAAGACAATGCACATCGATGCCATGACTGCGACACTGACTTATTTCCTCGGTAAACATTACTGAACTGCTGCACGGCTGTCAGTGAACAATGTAATTTCCTTCAGAGAAGCACTGCAGATGCCCAGTATTACCTTCGCAGAGGCTTTGCAGATTTTTCTGGCTCTTTATTAAAAATACCAAGGGGATATGACAGACATTTTTTAAAAGAAATATCTAACATGCCTTGTCCATCGACTTATGAGGTTTACAACCCAGCACTTAAATGTCTCTGTTCCAAACTAGGTTACCAGTAATCATCACACTTATGAACCTGAGGATCTTTTTTTCTTGTTTTTGAGACAGTATCTCATTCATGGTGATCCTCCTTCCTCAGCCTCCTGAGTGCAGGGATTATAGGCATGAGTTACGACACCCAGCCCTTCTGTATGTTCTTAAGGGCAGTGTCCACTTTTAGACTCTTCTTCCCCCGACCCTGTCTTCCCAGACACCCCGTGATGCAGAAGGAAGGCACTCTGTCACACCCAGGCTCGTGAGCTCAGGGCAGCAGAGCACCCATGGCAGAAGTGGTAAGGGCTACACCCAACGGGACCTGGAGAACTGGGCCAGAACCATACCTGTATTCTGGGTGATCTGGCGCTTGGTTATCATCTGTTTGCATTTGGGATCCATCAGTTCACTGTTTTTATTTTGCTTCAAGCATTGCAACATGGTCTTAGAATCTGCTTCTGGGCAGAACCTCTGCAAATAAACAAGGCTCTATGAAATCAGTCATCCCTGTCCGGCAGTGAACCCACTCTCGATTCCTCTTCCATCTCTGAGAACTTATGAAAGCAGCGGCACGAAGGTTTCACTCATGTGAACAGCCACGTTCCCTCGCTGCACGCACGCTCTTGTAGGCTTCTCACTTTCTCTCCACAGCCTGCACAGCATTGACCCCAGCCATGGCTATGTTACAGTGCATGCTATCTCTTGAGCTTTACTGTTTTGGGATTTTTAATTAATTAATTACTTAATTAATTTTGGGGGGTCTTTTTGAGACAAGGTCTTATTATGCAGTTCGGGTAGGCCTTGGGCTCACTTTATAGGCCAGTGTGGTCTTGAACTTGCAGTGATCCTCCTGGCTCAGCCTCCCCTAGTGTAGGATTACAGGAGTGCGCCACCACATACGGCTGAACTTTACCGCTGAGTATGAATATGACACTGCACCCAGTGTCCACCCAGCCTTTAAACCACTATCTACTCAGCCCCCATGGAAAACATGTAGGAGCTTCCCACCAACCAATGCGAGCAGGGATTTGGAGTAAGACCATTTCTGTTTGCTTAAGACAGATCTTGCTGGCCTTGAATTCATGATCGTCCTGCTGAAGCCTCCCAAGTGCTGGGATTACAGACGTGTACCACCATCCCCAGAATAAACTGTATTTTTATTTGTTTAATCTAAGGTCTTCAGTGTCACAGTGTCTGATAAACTCTAGTTGGGACACTTCAGCATCAAGCTTCTCTTCCTAAAGCATGTGTGATTATAATCTATTCATTTCTTACTGTAAAACTCTGTGGATTATAGACTTTTATAAAACCTTACAATGCTCTCTCAAACCAGAGCCTGGCATTTCCACATTTTCAGAACTCAACTGTACTAGGCCTAGGTAAAGAGACTCACACTTTTTGAGAGGATGTTTGAAATAAGGTTTTCTATGTATCTTATAGGCTGACCCCACTCTTGATCTTCCTGCCTCAGCGTCCTGAATGCTAGGATTATAGCATATGCCACCACAGTGGTTTGAGACTTCTATTTGTGATGTTCAAAATTATCTATAAAATTTGTTAATAAAGCCAGGAGTGGGGTGCACATGCCTGTAATCTCAGCACTCAAGAGACCAAGGCAGGAGAATCACTGGGAGTTCGAGATCAGCCTGAGTTACAAAGTGAGCTCAAGGCCAGCCTGAACAGCATAGCGAGACCCTGTCCATAAAGACAAAATAAATAAATAAAGCATTTGTTAGTAGAAAAGGACAGCTGGGCATGGTAGCACAGGCCTGCAATTCCAGCACTGGCCCAGGGCAGAAGCACTGTTGTGAGTTTAAGGCAAACCTGGACTAAATAGTGAGTTCAAGGCCTATCTGAAATAGACAAAAGTTTTTTACTGGTCTCAAAAAAATAAAAAGAAAGCTGAAATAAACAGTTGGAGTCTTTAGATTTCTTTCTGTGTATATGTGGACAGATTAAGGAACTCTTGATATTATGGAATATTGAGTATAAGAATAATTAAAGCAAACAAATTGCAGAACCGAAAAATCTTAGTTGGGTATGGTGACACATGTCTGTAATCCCAGCACTTGGGAGGCTGAGGCAGGAGGACTGCTGCGAGTTCCCGGCCTGCGAGAGCTACATAGTTGAAGGCCAGTGTGAATTACACAGTGAGACCCTGTCTCTAAAACAAGAACAAACAAAACAAAACCCATCTTGTGGAGTGTGGGAGATGGTCTGATCAGGACACTGGGTGGTGGCTTTATCGGTACACCTAGGCTTAACCATGGTGATCATCTTGCTGCAGCCTCAAAACCAGTCATGTATTTACTTAGGACTCAGTTCTGGTTTTCCAATTCTAGGCAGCCTGCATCACTGGGAGGGTGTGGACAGATGGCCGGCTTCATGCCGAGTTTCTGATTCAGGCGATCTGAGGCGGGCCCCAGGAACTCACAAGCTGCTGCGAGAGGCAGACGCTGCCGGCCTGGGAGCCCCAGCTTTAAAAGGTCACTGTGTAAAGAGGTTTATGCTGCGCCTGGCCCTTACCTTTATCATCTGCTTGCAGACTCGCATGAGTGTGTAGTCTAGTTCCGGGTCCATCATCTCTGTCTCCTGCAGCTTGAATACCTTCTGGTGACAGCGGTTACTCAGTTGCTTCTTGTTTTCTTTCAAACACTCAATAATCTATGACACACAGAGTTACAGTCAGTGTGGGGTGTGAGTTCTTAATGCATGCCCCCATCGTTCTACACAAACACCTCCGTTCTAGTTCCCAGGCAGTGAGAATCAGGACTTCCTCAGCTCTTACAGAATTACAGCCTTAGGGCCAGTGCCAAACCATGCAGCATGAAAGTCTAGTCCAACTAGCAAACTGCAAAATGGGATAAAAGGGAAGGGGAATCACTCTGATTTCCTGGATCCTTCGGCCTTCTAGGACCACTGGTCAAGATTCCCCTGGGACGCACACAAGGACCAACTCTGACTCAACAGGAGGCTCAAAACAGCAGGTTCAACCCAACTCACCACACACCACACGGGAAGGCACGCGCAGACACTGTGTGTGCGTCAGATCCAGCCCTTGGCCCTGACAAGTACAACCCCCCTGGACAAGCTACACTAACTGGGACAGAAAGGGCGAGTGATGCTGTAAAGGCAAAAGCCTCATGGGACAGATTTCGAGCTAAGTATATATCCTGAAATCTTTGCTTTTCCACACCAAACATTAGCCAAAATACAAACATAAAGAAGGAAAGCGGAGGGGAAGCTGCAGCGCCCAGAGCACAGCACAAAGCCAGGAACCTGCTCTCACACCCTCAAGGCACAACCAGGAATCGGCACCTAGCAAAGGCACACTGTTATCTTACAGAAGGTGACACGTAAAATAAATCAAGAACTTGCAACTGAGGGAAAAGGTATCAGAGCAAGCAAAATAGTAATTCAAAAATATCTCTAATAGCCTCAGAAAAGAACAGAAAGAAATGGTACTAAGAATCAATAATGAGTAGTTATACAAAGTAATAAAGATTAGAAGGCATGAAAGAAAAAATTAAACACAGATGGAGACAGACTCAGATGCTCCCATTCTTTACAGGAATTCTGAGGGAAGGAAAGATGCAGTCTTGTGTGTGCGCGCGCTCACGTGCGCGGTGGCACTGGGGATTGAACCCAGGGTCTTGCACCAGACAGCAAATGCTTGATCACTGAGCTAAACTCAAGTCCCTCCTTTTTTTTTTGAGACAGGTTTTTGCTACACAGTTCTGGCAGGACTTACTTGAACTCACTATGTCGTTCAGGCTGGCCTTAAACTCATGGTGATCCTCCTGCCTCAACTGAAGTGCTAAGATTTGAGGCATATGTAACCAAAACCAGCCCATGCTGGTTTTTTTTTTTTTTAATTGGGACAGAGTTTTATTAAATTGCCCATGGTGTCCTTGAACTTGTGATCTTCCTGCCTCAGTTCCCTTTGTAGCTGGGCTTACAAGCATGTACCACCACACCCAGCTGTAAAGAAAATTTGAAAAACTGACCAAGTCTATCCTAGAACTAAAAGAAATGAATTCTCAGGTCAAAAGAGCCAACCTGGATAAAGAAAACAAAAAACTGTACCTAGCTGTATTTCACCGAAGTCAGCAATAAAAACAGAATGAGCTGGGCACGGTCACACAGCCTGTGACACAGCAGCTCAGAAGGCTGAGGCAGGCGAATTATCAAGTTCCAGCCCAGTACAAGCAATTTATGAGACCTTGTCTCAAAATAAAACATGAAAAGAGGTGGGGACACAGATCAGTAGTACAGCACTTTCCTAGAATAGATTTAATCCTTATTACCACAAAAACTCAAACCAAACCAAACCCTACAAAATACAAATTTATCAGAAACAGATTGCCTCACATTTTGCAGCACCAATGATGGATACAAGATAATGCAAGAATTATCTCAGAGGCTAAAACACCATAGCACTGTCTTTAACGAAGAGGTAGTGAGAAAACATTTTTAAAAAAATCACTACTTTGAAGCCAGACATGGTGGTGCATGCCTATAACTCCAGTACTTAGGAGGCTGAGACAGGAAGACCAATGGAAGTTCAAGGCCAGCCTGAACTGTATAGCCAGACCCTAGCTCAAAAAAAAAAAAGTCCATCCCCAGTACTGGAGAAAAAAAAAACAAATTTCCTAGATGATCCGCGGGCTCTAATTAAAAACTTTTGTGTGCCAGCTGGGTGCAGCTGTCTGTAATCTCAACTACTCCAGGGGTTCAGGTAGGCGGACCCCAGTTTCAAGACCTATCTCAAAATAAAAAGGGCTGGGGGTGTCGCTGGTAGTTATCTGGTGCAGTGGGATAACCCTGGAGTCCTGGAAAGCTATCGAGAGGAGAAGGCACTTGAAAGATCACTAGGAATTCTGAAGGCAGACATGGTGGGCTGGGATCAAGTCACTGGAAGAGGAGAATGAAAAGGAGACAGGGAAGCACGGGGAGGAACTCCAGGGAGACCAGCCAGAAGGGCCCGAGGCTCCTGATGGCGAGTTTTGTATTACGACACTTCCACACCACCTCTGCAACTGAAAGTGTGCAGTCACCTGAGCGTTGCCGTACTGCACAGTGGAACAGTGGTTCTTGATGTCGCTCTTGCAGGCTTCATAGAGATCCGGCTCCAGACGGATGTCTTCTGTCTGCACAAAAGGCAGCAAAGGACAAGTGGGCTTACTTCAAGGTGGAGACGGCAAATGTCCCGCAGACCTATGTGCTGACTGCCACATCTCCTGCACGTACCAGGAGAGCTGGGATTTATTCCCAGTCCTCCCAAATATCAACACGGCCAGGAGCCTCTTCTGCAAAATGAAATACTGTGCCCACCCTGAAATGCCATGGCTGTTCCTGACAGGACTAGAGAGAGATAAAGGTAGCATTACGTAAAAGCCACTTCTCAAAGTTAAAAGCTCTACGTCAGGAGGGGTCCATGCTTAGTTTACTGTTTTACCACAGTCATCATTCAATCATGGTGACTTCTGGGACATGCATGGTGTTTGGTCTCCATTACTAGTTTTGCTCAGAGTGAAATGGACAGTATGATCCACAGCACAAAACATGGTAGAATTATTTGTAGCACAGTTTGGGCTTGACCTCACAGGAAAAGTCAACAGCCTCCTGTCTGGTGCACTCCGTGGAGGCGTCTGCAGACCCATCTGCCTGGGGAAGCCTGGCTCCTTAGGCCTCGGGGTGCCCCTGGGGATGGCTGCCAGTTAGGGGATGGGCACGGAGCTCAAGCTGCCACAGAAAAACTGAAGGGAAGTACTTTATTTCATGGCAAGGGAGGGTTCTCTCTTCTCTCCTTTTCTTGCTGGAGACAAACAGTAAAGTAGGTGGCTCAGCTGTCGCAGGCAGCCATTATGCAACCATGAGGGAAACCAGCCTTGGGGTGGACACCAATACTACCAGAGTAGAGGGGAAGACCCTCAATACTTGATGATATGTTCATCCAATGACTGCATCATATACTTACTTCCAGGGGTGTGTGATTTTTAAAAAAATTTTTTTTAAAACCTAGTTCAGGGCTGATCTAAACTACACAGCAAGACCGTTTCAAAAAACCAAAAGGAAAAGAGAAGGATCTCACTATGTAATCCAGAGTGGCCTTATACTCACTATGTATACTTAATGCAATCCTCCTGCCTCAGCCTCCCAAGTACTGGGATTACAGGCTTGTACCAACACAACAGCATATATGTCTTATTCAAAATCAAAACAGTGAAAAAAGAAGGTAATTGGTAAATTTCACGTGGTAAAATTTTACGTGTGTGATTCTGTGTCTCATCCATCAAAACAGCAGCTAGTCTCCCAGCTGGCCCCACCCCACCCCGGCCCCTCGGGGTTCCAGGCACCATTACCATTTCCAGCTCCTCCACGCGCAGCTGCTTGCGGCACTTCAGGGACACCCGGTGCTCCTTGGCTTCCTGCAGGGTGTCGTTGCGCACAGTGGTGCTCAGGCAGATCACCACGTCCACCCTGCCAAGCAAAGAAGGTGTGAGACTGGCCGGCGCTGTGCTGGAGCAGGGGCGCTGCCAGGACTCGGAGGACACCATCTCCATCAGCTTTCGGCATCTTCCCTGAAGTCTCTCTCTCTTCAAGGGGCTAAAAGCAGTGCTTTGACAGTTTCATTGAACAGTCACCCCACAGCCATGAGCAGTGACACTGACAATTTAGATGTGGCAGAAAAAAGCCATACAGTGTCTGCTAAGGGAAAAGGTGCAGGTTCTGGACATAAAGCAAAACTACATGCAGAAATTCCTAAAACATACCAGAACGTGCTCGCGGTAAAATAGTGAAAGGCAGGCAGAATAGGAAGCGATGGCATGCATGTAACTATTATATTATATAGCACACTGTTTTCACTGGTCTACCAGATTTCATTCTGAGACCGGGTCTTGTAAGTCCTCAGCTGTGGGGGCTACCATTCCCAGATATTTTACTATTCTTATTCCTCTCCTCTCCTATTGCGTCTCCTTTATAAATTAAATTCTGTAAGAGGTCTACAGGTACAGGAAAAACCCGTACACATAGGGTCTGGGATGATCTGTGGCCTTGGCCCTCTGCCGGGGGCTGTGGAGCATGTCTTGAGGATAAAGGGCCCCACAGCAAGTCAGGGAAGGCAGCAGCCGCAATGCCCCTGATGGCAGACTCAATGTGCCTGAGGACAGCTCGAACCTGCTTGTTAAAACACATGCCCTGCTCGCCTCGGGGACTGTACCTTTGACACAGTGTGGAACTCAATCCTGACCGATTTAGAAACCTGGGGAAAACAGGAGTTTGGTTTCTGAGGGGAAATGTGCCTTCTCAAAAAGCTGCAGGGAAGCACCAGAGCATCTGTGCTGTCAGGCTCCTCTGTCTCTTCATCAAGATCCAATTCTGCAGCGCGTCAAGGTTCTGCTTGCTCGCTATGTATCTAATTCAGTGTGAGAAGAGAATGGGACGAGGCTGGGAGGAAGCCAGTCACCTCGCACTTACACTGCACTTGCTTCTGTAAGTACACAGCCTTCCTCGCGATGAAGACCTGGGAGGCAGTGGCCTCACGACCAAAGGTGACATGTGGAGGCACTCACACAGGATAAAAGGAAAGAAGCAAAACAGATTAGTTAAAAGTTACGTACTTCTTCTTTATGTTGGGACAAAGTTTCAACACATCCTCCTTGCAGGCCATTTTGAACTTGTAGGAGAACCGAAAATCCTTCATCTGCACCTAAAAGAGGAGGAGAAGGGAATCAGAAGCTCTGTGATGAGCTGAAGTCAGCAGTGGGCGTGAGGCAGGCCCAGAGCCCTCCAGCCATGCGCTGCTCCCCCGAGTGCGCTCCAGACCGTGTGTGGTGCACGCACTTTGCCGGCTCCTGCAGCGCTCTGTTCCTATGAAGAACTTTTTCTCCTTCGCCCTCCAGCCTGCCTCAGCTGTCTTCCCCTTGAATTCCCAAGACTGTGCAGTCATTTTATATTCTGGCATTGGAATCCAGATGCCATGGGGCATCACGCTCACTCATCCTGGGGAATGCAGGCTGGCTGCGCATCCCAAGAAGTCCATTACCTTCAGACAGATCTCAGTTCCTTGAAGGAAATGCATGCTACTCTGAAATACCTTTTATTCTCCTCTCCAGTCCTAAGATGTACTGAGCTACATCCCAACTCTTTTTATTTTTTGCTTTAAGACAGGGTCTCATGAAGCTACCCAAGCTGGGCTCCTACTTAGGATCCTCCTATTTCAGTCTCCCAGGAGGCTAGGATTACAGGTGCGTGCCACCATGCAGGGTTGGAACACTTCTTTTATCACACTTCTTTCATTACACTTGGTCTAACCTAGTTTTTTTTCATTTTTTGCAGTGCTGGGATCAAACCCAGGGGCCTCACACACACTAAGTGCTTTCCTACCAAACGACATTGTTGGTCCTTTGTGTATTGAGATAAGGTGGCCTCAAACTTGTGAATCTTTTGCCTCAGTCTCCCAAGCAGCCAGGATTACAGGCACGTACCATGGTGCCATCGGTCTAAGTTTCTTATTCAAATGCTGAATCTGAGTTGTATGATTTAAAAGAAAGAAGTTTGGCACAGGAAATCAACAGGCAGGTGTCACTGACCAGCTGGAAGTGGGTGACTCCAATGGCACACTTCTCGTTCATGTCCTTCTGGTGCTTGTTCTGAATCAGACACTCCATCAGATCCCCAGAGTCTATCTGGTTGTCTGCCACATCCTGAGGAAGATAGCGAACACTTAAACTGCACTTGTAACAATTAATGATGACACCTGTACCTCAGACCATGAAAAAAAGGAACATGACAGATTCTGGAAGCAATCACAAAAATGACATGTTATAAATTATTCCCAATAAACCTGAGAAACCAGGAAAGTTAAAAATTCACTGGACTAAAGTTTACACAGCAAATTTTGCTACAGGAGGCAAGCATCTGTACTATAAGGGATTTTACGGACTGATGCCAACAGCTGGCTTGTTTTTTTTGGCATCAGAGATTGAACTCACAACCTTGTGCTTGCAGGCAGGCGCTGTGCCACTGAGCAAAATCCCTGGCACCAATAAGCTGGTTTTTTGGTCCTATCTACCATGGTCTCCTGTGGTGAGAACCTAATTGTGTCCACAGTATGTTTCACCTCCACACTGAAGGCAGTTCACTGGGTGACACACAGACTCATCCGAGGTAGAAAGGAGACAACTGGATGCAGTATCACCATGGATAATGCCTAGGAAGCAACCCTGCCAGATTACTGGGAGCTTCTCTGCTGTGTCTTTCTTCTAAAGGGCATCTCAAGCACAGCTGCTACCCACATCTCTGCTCGCCTACAAAGGCTAATTGAGCAAACTCTCTCAGCACAGTGATCCTTGTCTCTCCATCCTGTAACAATTCCAACTTGTACTTATCAAGGCTAACTATCACAGTTTGGGGAAATGAGGCTGCAGACAGAGACGATCCACGATCCAACACCCTTGGGGTCAGAGTCCCATTGAAATCTAACCCTGCTCCTCTGGGCATTACTTACGTGGCAAAAGTTCTGAATGATGGGCTCACAGGCTCTCATGAGCAAGGCTTCTATTTGAATATCCTGTAAAAGATTAAATACACGGATCATTTTGCTTTCAAAGAGTGGGGAGTTCAGAGGTAGCAGTTTCTTTTCAATCAGCAGCATGGATGAGCAAATAGTCTAATAAGTACATTCAAAAGCTCCTCTAGTTTTTAAGTTAGATGGTCCCAGAATATGTAGCAATAATATCAGAGCATGAAAGGGCTGTGGCATTTTTGGGAAGCACTAAATAATTCAAACTGAAAACAGTGGCAACTGACATCTCTTTTGTTACAAGTTTGTGACCAGGTTGTCAGCAGGTAGGGAGCACCCGCGTCAGGGGAGCACCATCTCTGTGCCTGTGGCAGAGTGGCTGGAATACACTGCTGCTCGAGGAGCCTTGCCCAGGAGACAGGGTCACACTGAACCCCAAGCACAGAGGGATGGGAGGGGAGAGGTCAGAAAACAAGAGGGGCAACAAACTTTTAAAAACTAGAAAGCAAATAACTAACAGAGAAATTAATTTTATATCCTGCCAATTTGGAGAAGTCAAGCAGTACTACATGGTGTATGGTGGAAAATGTAGCAGTTCCTCATTTTTCTGATTCTCTCCCCACAAAATAATATTTTTAGCTGCCTCCTTGCCACAGTAATAGTCTATTTCTGAATAATGCCTATGTTTAGGAGGTTTTTAAACCTCATATTTTACATAGTAGTGGTTTTGAGAATGGAACGGGAAGAACCACGTGCTCCATCTTCCATATGTAACCAGCAGTCCTCACTATAGTAAACACGTGAACATTACACACAACTGAATTAGGAGGGCTAAGGACGAAGGCTGTGTGGGTCACTCCAGGACGTGACCCGGAGATTCAAGGTGCCGCAGTTATCCCATCTAGAGGGGAGGCGGGCCTAACCACTGTGATACCCTCCACAGTGAAGGAGGCTGAAAGGTTGAGTGGATGGAGTACTGTCCAGAGCAACAGGAAGGGTGGGGAGCCAGCTCGGGGAGAACGTGAGTAGGCTCCTTCTGCCTGGCAGAGATCCACACTCTTGAGAGTGAGGACACAGTGGAACAGAGCATGCAAGGCCAGGCTGCTGGGCCCTCTCCTCCCAGGAGCCGCACACCGTGTACCTCCGACTCCAGCTCAGTGAGGTTGCCCACTATGTCTCTGCACTCCACGGCCAAGTCATCCAGATGGTCTTGGAGGCACTCAAGCTCCTGCACATGGATAGGAAAGCAAGTGTAATTTAGGCCTCAGACTCCTGAGTGCTAGAATTATAGACATGTGCCACCACATTTAGCTTCTTTTAAAACTACCTTGCTGAACAGAACAGCTTTATTTGATTCTCCACACTCAGATTGTTGAGAAGATAATTATTTGATATAGCAGGGTGATAAAGAGGGCCAAGGGAATACAAATCCCACGGAAGGTCAAATCTGCAAGTTCAGTGACAGCCAAACCTCTAGTGGCCTCAAAGTCTAAAAACTGCACCAGGTCTTCTATATCACTTCATCAACACCCTGCCATCCCTTTTTTTGTTTGTTATGCTTTGGTTTTGTTTTTTTTGAGACACAGCCTTGCTATGTAGTTCAGGTTGGTCTTGAACTCACGGCAATCCTCCAGCCTCAGCCTTCCAAGTGCTGGGACCATAGCTGTGCACTACCATGGCCAGCCTGCCATTCCATTTTTAATCTGTACTTTGATAATTTTTACCTCTCATTTTAAATCTGTACTTTGATAATGACCATTGGCAGGCATGAGGTTATGGTGAGGTGTTTTTTTTTTTTTTTTTTTTTTTTTTTTTAAATTCCTGGTTTAAAAAAAAAAAAAAAAAACCACATAGATTACATTAAGAAGACTCTTTATGGACAAAACAGACAGGGACTGAGGGCCCAGAAAATAGGCACAGAGCTGAAAGTTTTTGCAAGTCAGAACTGAGATTCTAATCCAGCCCACAGCAAAAGGATTCTGTAAGGGCAATTGCAAAAACAAGTGGGCATATTAGGGTTTGGATATTTAAAGCTATTTTGTCTGAGTTGGGGGAACCTGCTGCCTTAATTCTACCACCATTCCTTTTTGAAGTTTAGAGGTTTGGATATAACATCAGCTCACTTTCTCAAAGAACATCAACAGCTGTTTACTCAGTTTACTGATGTTCTGCAAGGCACTCTGTTTAGAATTAGAATAGAAAGGGAGGAGCGAGGTTAGAGGAATTACACAACAGTCTGAATGGGGCAGGGCCTGGGAAACATCACACTTGAGAGAGTATAACAAGTAAATGGCTACGGGAAACATTTCAGTCACAGACCCGTCTCTCAGCTAGGCTTAGCTTCTTTCGGTGACAGGCTGCAACTCTAGGCATTTCCTCGAGGTTTACGGCACAGAGGGGCTGAAGCAAACCGTTTCCTGGGATTCTGAATGAATCACAACCTTGTTCCACTGGACTGAGGCAGCAGAAAGCCAGACCACAGGCATTTTCTAACAATAAGCCCAACAGAACAACTACAGCAGGCTTTCCAAGCAGACTGCTGAAAGAGAAATTCCTCCACCCAGCACACCTGGGCAAGCAGTCGTGTTGCTTCTGTAAAAGGTCCAGTTCCTCCTACGCATGTGACTGTTCAACACTTTCCTTCCAGAAGGAACACTGCCGTGGTACAAATAGAGCCTGGAAGCCCAAGTTCACCCCTTGTTCTAGTGCTAATATGGCTTTAAATGAGTAGCTAGCAATCCGTGTTCATTACCCTTCTTCACAATGAAAGACATGCTGACTTCCCAAGGAATATGCTGCTCTGCACATGTTCTTCCTGTCCCCCCAACCAAGCACCCTTCGCAGCACGCCCGTAATCCTCGGGAGCTACTCCTCTGAGCGTTCCTAAATGCACAGGGTTTGATAAATGGACAAATGCCTACTCCGGATTACACTTGACTTTTAGGGAAGGAATTCAACGTACTTCTTTGAGACTCAACTGGCCAGCTAAGTTTACTTCCATGTATCTTTTTTTATTTGTTCTGCTTTTTGAGACAGGGCTCCCTCTGCAGTCCAGGCTGGCCTCGCCCTCACGGTGATCTTCCACCTGAATGCTGAGATTTCAGGTGTGTAGTGCTTGCTGTTCTAGGGCATGCGCCCTCAGCATGCACACAAGTATATACGAATAAAGTCTGTATCTCACAAGGACTTAAGAGGGCTTGTAAGAAGCACGGGGGGAAAGAGAAAATGGCAACAGAAAATGAATTAAAAGTGAGTAAAAAAGAGGAAAGAAAAGGAAAATGTGTTAAGGAGAGTAGGATGAGGCCAGTAGTGAGCCTAGTACCAAGCTGCCATACGTTTTAGAAGCAGGCCCTATCTTTGGCTCTAAGTTTTCTAAGGAGCAACATAAAGAGGGAAAATAATTATAAAACATAATGATCATAATATAAAAGAGTTGCTACTTAAGAAAAATGTAACTATTCTTTCCGTTTTTTTTTTGAAACAGGGTCTCATTATGTATTTCAGACTGGCCATGGACTCACTACATAGGTAGCCCAGGTTCTCCCTGCACTCACAGCTATCCTCCTGCCTCAGCCTCCCAAGTGCTAGGATTAAAGCCATTTACTACCATGCCCAATACAATTATTCTTTTTTTAAATAAACATCTATTATAGGCAAAACAAAACTTACCCATACTATATAAAAGTGTCTATTCACATTTTTTTAAAGAGGAGAATACATTTATTGAGAAAAAGAAGGCTTCTGTCCAAGAGAGACAGAAAGGGTCCCCAGCAGGTTGCCCCTCTATTCACATTTGTACATTACCATTTTTAACAGCTTGACATAAACTCTACAATGTCTTACAACACATGAAACGATATTCAAGTTACTGGGCAATAACCACAAAAAACATACAGCAGAAGCCTCAAGTGAATTATTCTTGATATAAGACCAAAGAATACTTTCCTAAGCACTTCGTCTAGAGAGAACACTCAATATAACAAATCCCATCTGTGAAGCCGGCACTGAGATGCACTTCAATGTGTGCCCCACATAAAACGCTGCTGCTGCTAGCATGAAGCGAGCGGGCTGCCTGCCACCTACCTGCCCGGTCTCTGTTTTCTCACTGCACCACTTCCCCAGATCTATGAGGCACTTATCCTGGAGGGCGGGGTCCAGCTTCACATCCATAGCGCGCTGGTGCAGGATCCTCTGGACTTCGGCTCTGCATTCCCGAGAGAGCTGGGCAGAAAACAATGGCAAAAGGGTTTAAAGGTCACAAAGCAAATACATGGAGCCTCCACACAGAGCAAAGCTGTTGTCAGGGAACTAACAAACAACCCTGCAGTTTACAGTGGTGCTTTAGCTCACGAACTTCTTTCCATGATTTTGGTCCCAAATCAAATTGGACAAGAACCGAATTAAATTTCCCCATAAGGTCAACATTAAACCTAACCACCGAATTGGATTCAGTTCTCATCCAATTTCGTTTGCAACTAGACTCATGGAAAGAATTAAGTTCATGAACCAAGGCACTAAAGTAATTTTGCAAATTTTATACCACAATCACTTCTAGAATAAGAATTAAATGTTCCAGAACTCTGCTGAAGTCCCTATCTCTAGGACTGCAATTCTTATATTGGCATTTTCTGATACACTATAAAAAACGATATGCTTTTCTGAGAATATCCTGAGGAAAGTGAACTGGATTTGTGCAGATTAGCTTAGAGTTTCTGTTTAGCAAAGTTAACTTGCAACTCTGTGCACATGGATACGTTAGAGCCAGTGCAGGTCACAGTACACACAGCTTAGGGAGCACAGAGCTCAAGCTGCTGCAGGAGCCCCCATCACTACTGGTCAGGACCAGACTCTTCTAGACGTATGCGGGATGCACAGAGCAAGAAAAGCTGACATTTTTTGGAAAGGCCATAAGAAATCTGTCACTGCAGTCTCAGTTTCTATTCTGGAACAGTCCGCATGCCAGGTGTAGAGGACAGACCTGACACCTTAGTGGGTGGGAGGCTTCCTATGAAGTCATAGAAGGTTTTGAAACCTGACAGTGACTTGCACAACATTGTGAATGTACCAAATACCACAGAAGTTTTCTCTTTAAAATGGATAATTTTAGGTTATGAGAATGTCACCTAAATTTTTTTTAACTCCCACCTCACCTGGGCCTCTGTACTGAGCTACATTCTCAGCCTTTTTTTTTTTGAGACAGGGTCTCACTAAGCTGGCCAAGATGGGCTGGGGTTACAGGTGTATGTGACCATGTGTGGCCTAACACTTTTTTTTTTTTTAAAGCTAATGCAAGCTGGATGTGGTGCAGCTGAAGACAGGAGGATCATTGTGAGTGTGAGGCCAGCCTAAAGCCTGTCTCAGAGAGACAAAAACAATTAATGCAATTAGGGCTGGTGGCACATACCTTTAACATGAACCCTCTGGGTGTCTGAGGTAGGAGAATCACCATGTTCAAGATCAGCCTGGGTAACTTAGTAAGACTGTGTCTTACAACAAAAAATAAGAAAAGGTCCAGGGATGTAGTTCAGTGCAAAAGCCCTGAGTTCAATCCCTAGTACCACACATACACATCAAAAAAATGAATGAATAAATAAACAAAGACTTCATTCCTTCCTTCATTCATGAGAAGAAATGCCCTACTGTTGTGACTAGCCAGATGCCAGAAACAGAAGCCCCCAGGGTAAATAATGGACTCCTTATAGGAAGAAAATGTAACAAAGCCCCAATGCCTTTGCATAGAATAAAAACTGGCATAGGTGCGCAGCAACATTTTGCTACTTGAGTTTCCTCTTTCTGAATCCTAGCCCTCAGCCTTTGGACTGAGCCCAGAGGGGTCGAGCTGCTTTCTGCACAAACACCGTTGTGCCTTGTCATAGGGTCTCTCTGAAAGCGAGGGCAAGCAGCGAGGCAGGGGGACGCCACAAGGCAGCTGATGCTGCTGGGGAGTCAAGCACACGCTAACATCGCACCCGAAGGTAGCAACCAGGACAGACAAAAGCCCAGATTCTGGTGCACAGAAGCCCCTGCTCCAGCAAGAGTAATGCCAGACAGAGCTGCCGCTTCCGTGCAGATGTGTGGGCCCTGCTGTCATGGGGAGACAGCTAAAGAACCATTTGGATCCTTGCTACAAACTTCTAGTTGATCTTTAAAGCTAAATAAAGACAGCAAAATTTAATTGTACATTGGCACTCTGATTTCAGTAATTTAAAAACCCTGGAAATGTCCCTCCCTCTACTCACCTTGCTAAAAACACAATCGGATGGGCAGAAGCTGGTGAAACACCTGCAGTACAGTCCCCTCCCCGCCAAACACACTACACAAGTTTGCTGGGATGACAGAAACCAGGACACCACAGAGCAACTGACTGAGAAACAAATGAAAGAAGCCAGCTTTGCGGGCGTACCCTTCGACCCTGCTCCTCCGTGCGGTAGGCGTGTCTATACAGACAGGAGAACACGGCGCCAGGGGGCATGAGCTCGCTGGTCTCATTCCAACCGTGGGTGTGGCACAGCCGTGAAGCATCTCCCTGGCACTTGCGGTACAACACCGGGTCCAGCCTGTAGAGTGGAAAGAGAGCTGCTATCTCCTGTGCCTCTCCTTCTCCCACATGCTCAGGGCTTTGTGTAACTCACTGATCATCACCCCTAGCGCAGTGGAGCCGGCAGAGGAACAAAGGTATCTTCCTGAATGCTGATCTTATTGGACACACAGCGGCCAATCTTTAGAAGTTTGTTGACTTTCACACAAAAGACCCACGTTCTACCTTCATGTTATCTTGGCTACATAAATGACCTAACACTACATTAAGGTAGTACTCACATGGTTGGGCTGAAAGAGAAAACTAGGGTTCACCGCTTCTTACTAACTACTTGTTTTTTTTAAACTCACGGTCTTGCCACATATTTAAGGCTGGCCTTGAGCTCACTATGTAGCCCAGGTTGGTCCTCAATTTGTGGGAATCCTCCTGCCTCAGCTTCCCCAAGGTCTGGGGTCACAGGTGTGCACCACACCTGGCTACTGAGTACTTTTTCCTAAATATAAATGTGCCTAATATACTACATTCAACAAAATCAGAAAACAGCAAGATAAATGGAGCCTTCTCCTCAAGTCTTTCTCTATTAAAACCACTACTCTTCCTATCTCATAGAGTCAGGCAGTGAGTTTTTAGTTTCTTTGAATAAGTTTATCATATTATAAAATGGGACAGTTAAAAACGTTTTGGTCTTTTTGAGACAGGGGTCTCTCTGTGTAACTTAGGCTGGCCTTGGGCTCACTTTGTAGCACACGCTGGTCTCAAACTCTCAATGCTCTTCCTGCCTCGGCTTCCAGAGTGCTGGGATTACAGATGTGCACCACCACACCCTCCTTTGGGATGCTAACTTTGAAACTGGGGACAGTGGATGGTGATGAGCCTGCTTTTCTCCAAATTAGACTATGGGACGTTTAACTCTGTCCACGTTATATTATCAACTGCTGGAGACAGTTACTTAATGACAAGAAGGAGGATGGTATTTAGTAAGTAGACTAAAACTATGAAGGAATTTGGGGTGGGGTGGTCACTGGGGATCAAACCCAGGTTGTTCTCCCACTGATTTACATCCCCACCCCTTTCTATCTTTTAGGACAGGGTCTTGCTAAATTCCCTAGACAGATCTTGATCTTGCGATTCTCCTGACTCAGCCCCCCAAGTACTGAGAGTCTATGGGCATGCGCCACCTTGACACAAACTCTGAATTAACAAAGGAGAAAGCACAGGTTGTACTACTAAGGAGGCTCACTCAGGGAAGTCACTTCCCAGTTTCCTGTGGTCCTTTCCAAGGCTAACTTGAAGGAAAAATGCTAAAAACATGTCAAATCCTTGGGTAATCTTGTTCTACTGAAGCATGTGGGCAAAAATAGATGAAACAGCAGCAAAAGTTAATGACCACATTACAGTGGTTTAACCAGTAGGACCCCACAGTGACAGCCTGAGAGACAAAAGGAAACAAGACAATGGAAGAGGAATGCAGCCAGCAAGCCAGTGGGCCTGACTCCCTGGCCAACGCTCTGCCCGCCCATCTTCCTTTATTCCTTTACCCTCTCCCTTTTCTTTTTTCCTTCAGCACATGGCATTGAGCCCAGGGAGCCCCGAGCTACATCCCCCGTCCTTTACAAATTCTGAGCCAGGAATTGCTAGGTTGCCCAGGCTGCCCTCAAACCTTCAATCCTTCTGCCTCAGCCTTCCGAGAAGCTGCAATTACAGGCAAGCACCACACGCCCACTCTCCCTTTTCTTGCTAACAGGAAGAGAAAAGGGAATTCGAGAATCAAGTTGTCATTTACTAAGAACTTCTCAAGATAGAATAAATTCAATAATCTTAAATAGTTAAAAAAATAAAAGCAAATTCCCATTCCTAGTGCAAATCAATAAAGATATAAATGCACTATTATCTTCTTAGTCATATCTGAGGACATTCTGTTGTCCCACAGGAACCAGAGCTCTTTCTAGATAGACATTTATGGCATCAGAAACTTTACTTCTATTTTTTCTTTTCTTTCTTTCATTTATTTATTCACTTTTTGGTCTTTTTGAGACTGTTTCACTGGCTCTCCTAGAACCAGAAGATAACTCCTTACTCACTATTACAAAATATACAGGTCCAGGTAAACCTGTAGCTCAGTGCCAGGCTCTGCCTTCAGTTCCCATCACCAAAAGGCATCCCCCACCCCTCACAGCTGTGATACTGACTACACAGGAGGGCAGGTGAGGCAGTGCCTTATGCGGGCTTCGAAACACTCACTTCCAGTCCCGGGAGATGAAATACTGCAGCTCCAGGAGACGATGCTCACAGTCTTCCACCATCTTCTCCGTGTAAAGATGCTCCATCAGGCACGAGAGGATCCTGGCAGCAGGAGAGGTGGAATTACACAGAGAGGGAGAAAAGGAGGGAGGGGACGGGAGGAGAGGGGGAAAGGAGAGGCGTGTTCTGTTTACAGGTTCACAATACTCACTTTAATTAATATTGCCTGTAATTGGAAGAAAAAGCCCTTTAGCTATTTTCCCAGTTACACAGACTTCTAAGAATCACTTAAATTTACTGAATTTGACAATGATTATGCTTCTATCAAATCGGAGTCACTCCGCACACAAAATCTGTGCACAGCTGCTTTAACAGTGTATCACAGAAAGTTTCCAACACCCACAAAAGTGAAAAGGATATACTGGGTACCTCCCTGCGCATAGTTTTGTCAGCCTGTGGCCAAGATTTCTTTACCTCTAAGATCGTTGGCCAGAGTTTGAGATTTGAAGCAAATCTCAGACCCCGTATCATTTCGTTAGTAAACACTTTGTCATGTTTCTCTCAAATACGGGAACACAGTACTGCTGCCACATAACCAAGAAATTTTAAAATCCTTATTATACCAAGTGTGGTGGCATATGCCTGTAATCCCAGCACTTGAGAAGCTGAGGCAAGAGGAGCACTGTGAGTTGAGGACAGCCTGAGCTGCATAGTAAAACCCTATTCTCAAAAAGACCACAAAAAGGGGGGAAAAAGAACTTAATATCATGTATTAGCCTGCTCATTGTTTTTTTTTTTTTTTTTTTGGTCTTTTTCCTTTTTATTGGTACCAGGGATCGAACTCATGACTGCCTGCTTACAAGGCAGGCGCTTATGCCGCTGAGCTAAATCCCCAGCCCCCAGCCTGCTCATTTTTTAAATTTCCCAATTATCTTGTCTTTTTATATGCTTGTTCAAATCAAGACCCAGCAAAGATCTACATGCTGCATTTACTTGAAAAGTATCTCCAATCTGTTAAAAATCTGCAGCAGTTCCCTTTTTTCCCTTTCCCCCACGCTTTTTGGTCGATGCAGCTATTTTTATACTGGTGAATATGCTTGGTCTCCAGTGTGTTCTCCCCTCCATACACACAAAAGGGCTGAAGCAGGAACACGGCTCTGATTCACCGCACACAGGCACGGCAGGGGCTCACACAGCAGCATGATGACCGACCTGGGCCGCATTCCCTGACTGCTGGGTCCTGCCAGCTGCAGGCTATGAGGATTTTTATGGAATGGGAAAGCTGTTCTTTCTTGCAACCTGGTTTTGAGAACTATTTTTATATCATGTGGAATAAAAGTAATGCAAGAGAATCAAATGCTTATTGTAGCCTTTTTCAACTTCCCTAGATCCTGGATGCAAGTCCAGTCTTCATTTTGTCCATGACTACATCCTGCAGCTATTTTTCATTTCAATTACAAAAAACTGCTTTCCCATGACTAGTATAGCCAATATATACAATGCATTAACATACAAATAGGATGAAAAGTACAGAGTGTCAGTGTATGCACCCCTTTATCCTGAGTACCTCCCTCTCCCGTGTCCATCTACATTAGAGGAAGTTGTCTGTGACCTTATGAATAGGCTCACATGTGCCTATTCATATCAACATTCATGTCAACAAACACTATCACAGTGCTGGGTCTAGGTGTCTCCACCACATGGAGGAGACAGACGCAAATCAGAAATCTGAATTCTAATACTTGTTTTAGCAAAAGTTGGTATATCTTACTGCTCAAAAAAATTCCACTCACGATATTATAAATAAGCCACCCAAAAGCCACCTTGGGACAGTTCCCCGTGCTGCCAAGTAAAATACATGGATAATACCAGAAGGAAGGTAACCTACATTGGGTCTCCTGACCGGATGTGCTTGCAGGCTGTCTGTATTACAGATTCACAAGCTTCATTCAATGCACGGTCAATGCGGTAATCTGCACCTGGGTCCGTCTCCTGAATCAGTGTTTGAAGCTGGATTTTAAAAAATTAAGAAGAAAGTCAGGCAGCAGAAAAGCATTATCATCAGGTTTGCAGCCTGGCACATCACAACATCCTCTAACAAGGTTCACCACTGGCCAAACTCAGGAACATTTTGCCAACTCACATGCACTGGTGTCTCCATGTAGTTGCACGTTTCCAGGTGAGTCACTGTGGGGGTGGCTGATATACAGTTCTGAACTATGCCTGCACCCCTGAAAACAGCAGACCTTCACAATGCAACTTGCAGGCTCTCTCTGTCCTCTTATCTGTACACTTGTTAATCAGATAACTACATCTGACACCTGGGGGAAAGCCAGAATTCATTGGAGTAAAAGAAAGGACTTTTTAGGGTCAGGGATGTCACTCACTGGCCCAGCATAAGTAAGTGATAGAATATACCTCTGTGTTTAATCCCCAGGAGAGCAAAAAAGCAAAAACAGAAGTGTACTCTGCTTTATTAAAAGCAGAAGTACAAGATTTCATTGAACTTGCAGAAGCAGTTTGAAAATAGGAATACAGTGGACCCTTGACCAATGTGTTCTTGAGGCCTGCCTGTAATTTAAGTCGGTTGAAGGCTCAGGCTCCTCTCTCCACAGCAGATCTCAGTGTCCTTAGATAGACATTGGCCTAGGATTTCTCAATTAACCCCTTTCAGGAAAGGATGTTGCAGTGTTCCTTCCAGAACTCATTAAGGGCAAAGTCTGTATCTGAGACCATCTGGAAGCACAAGCAGCCAGCATTTGGGTCATAACTCAAGACTTTTGTTGTAAGCTCAAACTAAAATGCCAGCCATAACCCAAGCTGTTCATATGTCAGGCCAATCATAACTTGAGGGTCTGCTGAACTTTTAATTTCTTGTTTTAATATAGCCAACATGTGAATCACAGCTTTTGCATAGTAACTATATAGAAAAATGTTTGTCTAACAGATACACACATGGACACACACCCGTTTACTTTTTGTGGTACCTAGGATTGAAGCCAGAGGTGCTCTTCCACTGAGCTATCTCCCAGCCCTTTTTTATTTTTTTGAAACAGGGTCTCATTAAATTGTCCAAGTGTGACCCAAACTTGCAATATTTCTGCTTCAATCTCCCAAGTGCTTGGATTACAGGAATGCACCATTCCACTCAGTTGAGAATACAGTCTTTTTATTTTTTATTCTTGAGACAGGGTCTCATTATGTGGCTCAGAGTGGCCTTGAATTGCTTATGTAGCCCAAGCTGGCCTCCAGCTCACAGTGAGCCTCCTCCTGCCTTAACCTCCAAGTGGTGTGCCAATATGGCTGAGCAAAGTCTTGATCATCTATTTTGCTTGGCCCCTCCCCTGCCATGAATTAAGAAAAAGGAAAACAAGGCAGGTAAGCCGGGCCAAGTGGCACACGCCTACAATACCAGCACTTGGAAGGTTGAGGCAGGAGGATTTCTGCAAGTTTGAGGCCAATATGGATTACACAGTGAGATCCTGACCCAAAAAAAGAAAACCAAAAACAGGGGAGAAAAAAAGCGGGAAAAAAAGCACCTCAGTCTCTTGAGAAGGATTTGGGACTTGAGGCAAAGAGGAAAAAGTTTTAAATTAAAGGTCAGAAAATCCAAATTCTATTAATGGTTCCAGCTCTCTCCGGAATTAGTTTAAGAACACAGACAAGTTGTTGCTAAACCACAGATTACAAGAAACAATACTACATGAGAAATACTGGGTAAACGGCAAAGCATCTCACAGACAAAAGATCCTTATTACTACAGACGAGTGGCAGATGGTGTTTTGGGGAGGGAATCTTAAACATGAGAAAGAAAACTTGAGAACTGTAATACCTACTGGTTTGAGTTCCTTTTTTCCAAGCTAAGGGACTAGGGTCCTTTTTGTGTCACTGGCTCATGCTCTCCGGCAACTTTCTCTGATCTGCACATGTCTGACCTGCAATCCCCAAGGGGCACCTAGGAAGGTACTGACCTTTGCGTAGTGTCACAGACTGCACATCAAAGGAATGGAAGGAACAACCCGATTCTCTCTCTCTTTCTCTGTTTCTCTGTCTCTCTCTTTTTTGGGGACAAGAGTTTCACTATGCAGTTCAGGCTGCCCTGAACTCATTTTGTAGCCAAGCTAGCCTCAAAATTGCAGCAACTCTCCTGCCTCAGTCTCCTGAGCGCTGAAATTACAGGTATGCATCACCAACACCTGACTTACCAATTCAACAATCAGGAGGTATAGTTAGGATTCCTAGTGTTACGGGATACAAGTTCTCTATACTGATTCGTGGTAGCAACTTGAAGAAACTACAAGATGCTGTAGTTAGTTGGTAGGAGGACTATTTCATAAGCAAAATGATAATCAATGCAACTTATGACATTTGGTAACAAAGACCAAAATAGCTACATGTTCTCTGAGGACAGTTAAGAGGCAAAACAAGAGACTGGGTATCTTTGCAAGGACTGTGTCGGTTCCATCTCCACAGCTCAAAGGCCAGTGCTGGGGACTCATGCTGACAGCTCTGGATGGCTCCAAGTATCAACAGGAGAAAATACAGCCCAGCAGGCTATTCACTGCCACTCTGGAATTCAGTGACAAGAGTTGGCAAATACACAAAAAAGGTGAAATGCTACAAGATGTGCACCTATTTTAGCCCCTGATATACTCAGGAAGCCCTGGAAAAAGCTTTGGAGAAATGATTAGGCCATGAGACATATGGGCTGAACTCATCTGGCCATAACTGAAGAGAACTTACTAGGTCATGATTGTGATGAATTTAGAAGGTATATACTCAAATAATAATTACACTTGGAATGCGGATTTAGCTCAGCAGCACAAGCACCTCCCTGGCAAGCACGAGGTCATGAGTTCAAGCCCCAGTACCAAAAAAAAAAGATAATAAGCCTTATGCTTTCCAGTTTACTGTTTGTCAAGAGATCACTAAATCAAAAAAAAAAAATCACTAAATCAAAGCAGACGATTAGGTTGGACATGATGGCACACACCTGTACTATAGCACTTGGGGAGCTGAGGCAGAAGGATTGTTGGCAGTTCAGACCAGCCTGGGCTACAAAGTGAGCTCAAGGCCAGCCTGAACTACATGTAGTACAAGACCCTGTCTCAAAAACAAAAACCAAAATAACCTATTTAAAATAAACCATTTCAAAATATTCCTCAACTGGTTGAGGATTAATAATACACAAGACAACAGCTAAGGAGATTTTTCTCCCCTTTTTTGGTGTGAAAGGTGAAACCATGGGCCCCTAAGGAAGTGTCCTTCTCCCTAGCTGGTCTCAATGCAAGCAGAGCCACCCAGTTCACCATCCGAGAATGTCATCTAGGTCTGGAACGCACTTCCTTATGGGCACAAAGGGTGATGTGGGTGGTATGTATTTATCTTCCAGGCTGAGTCACTTGTTCTTTCAAGAAGCTAAATTTTAAAAAGCCCTGGGAGTGAACGCGATGCCTCAAAAGAAAGCCAAACCTGTCTACTTTCCTTTTTCTATATATTGTACTACAGGTGTAGGCTGAGTAAAAAGATGGGTTTATTCCTGACCTCCCTCCACAATATTTCTGAGCTGAATCAAGGAAGAAAGGCAAGCACAGCGCAGGCTGCATACTGACTCAGCCTTGGCCGGCAGCGCCTGTATATTTGCCCCCCCTGGAGGTTTCCCAGCCAGGACTGCTCACAAGGAGCAACACTGTGACAAACTCAAACCACACAGGTCACAGAAGCCTTTCAGCTGGGCGGGGTATTTTAGAAGAGGTTGCACTTCTCTGTTTTTCCCATCATGGTAAGTGTGCATGTGTATGTGTTTGTGTATAAAATTATGAACATTAGCTGGGCATGGTGACACACGCCTGTAGTCCCAGCACTCAGGAGGCTGAGGCAGGATTGCTGCGAGTTCCAGGCCAGCCTGGGCTACCTAATTCAAAGCCAGCCTGAACTGCATAGCAAGACCCTGTCTCAAAAAACACCAAACAACAACAAAAATTTACGAACACTGCAGTTTTCTCTTGTCAGGATAACTGAGTTCAAGGTCAGCCTGGGCTGCATAGTGAGTTCAAGGCCACAGTGAGTATATAGCAAGACTGTCTCAAAACACAAAAACCAACCAACCCAAAAAAGAAAACATCGTGCTTCTTTGACCCTTCAGGTCTTGGTGAACGTCAGTAATAAAAGAACTTGTGGACATTTTCATCCCATGTGGACTCTCTTCAGCCTCAATTCAATGAAACCAATTAAAACAGAAAATTCTCTTTTGGTGAAGGTCTTTTACTGACTTACCAGAACCTGGTTTGCCAGGTTCATAAATCCAATTTGATAAGTTATCCTTTCTTAAAACTCCAGCAAACAATGAATTTTTCTCTACCTAATTATAGTCCTTTTTACTGATTATGAGTGCAAACTTTTGATCTGTAGCAAATTCCACATTTTACTAACACATGCTCAAAGAAACAATACCCTACTTGGTCCTTAGTTCCTAATCTTCACCATGGTAATCAGACATGATTCAGAGAAAGGAAACTGGAATAGTTTCAGGGAGAAGCTGCTTAGCTGATAAAATGAGTCAATCTGGATGTGGCAGCCCATGCCTATAATCCCAGTGCTCTCGGAGGCTGAGGCAGGAGGACCCAGTTCAAGGCCGGACAGGACTACACAGTGAGTTCAAGAGCAGCTTGAGCTACAGAGTGAGACTCTGCTTCAAAAAACAGTGACAGTCAGAGTAGCAGCAGGACAGTTTCTTACCGCCTGCTGGCAGTTCATGCCAAGGTTCCCCTTCTCCCCTCGAACAACTTTCATCAGGCAGTGCAGGGTTCGCCCTTTCCGATGGAGTCCTGAACAGTGGCGTTCAATCTCCCCCCGACAGCTCAGGATGATCTCGGGGCTCAAGGAGAAGTCTTCCATCAGCATGCGCCGGTAATCTAGCATCTCCCCTTGGCACTCACTGCTCACTTGTCGCCCTGCGGTAGAGTGGAAGTCACACATTAGGAGGTGAGCATGAGGATAAAAGTATCCACTTCCGTCTGGAATGTTAACTTCTCACCTGAAAAGCTTAGCAGGTGGCAAAAGCCTTTACAGCATAAAGTGGGCTTAAACTCCAGACTCAGGTTTATCCTGCCAATGCTCTGCATTATATAGATTTTACACTCTTACTAAACTAATAATGCAAATGTTTTGCTATTACAAGTCTTGAGGGGGGTACTGGGGATTAAATCCAGGGTCTTGAGTAGGCTAGGCACACACTCAAACACTGAACTGCGTCCCCAGCCTGCTCAGAAGTCTTTTTTTCTTTCCCAAGACACGGTCTCACCATGTAGTTTAGGCTGGCCTCGAACTCACAGTGATTCTCCTGCCTCCCAAGTCTCCCAAGTGCTGGGATTACAGGTGTGCACCATCACATTTGGCCCAGAAGTCACCAGTTAGGACACTGGTGGTAAAAATGAATGCCTAAAAGAACAATCTCTACTGGCCTACTCGCACTTACATCCTATGGAAAAGACTACACTTCAAATGATCACTTTATGTCTCAGCTACCAGGAAAGCTTAAAGAGAGACTACATAAATAAGCAAAAATATAAAAATGGCTACCCAGTCAGTTAGTGATAGAGCCATAATGCAAAGGCAAGTCTCTCTGACCCAAAGCTGATGTGCGTAAACCATGTTACCTCACCTCTTTACAATGCTACATAATAGGCACTTTATTTTTTTCGGTACCGAGGATTGAACTCATGACCTCATGCTTGCCAGGCAAGCACTTCAACTACTGAGCTAAATCCCCAGCCCCCATAATATGCATTTTGAAAATTAAAAATACTCGGAAGAATAAATACAGGAGAGAACTGACATGTGAAGGTATGAAAAGCACGACAGCATGAATCCGGAAAGGAAAAGAGGAACGAAAGACAGGAAGCCTCACCTCTGTGCACAGCGGACTCCAGGCACATGAGCAGGTAGGACAGCCTGGCTTCCCGGGACCGGGGAAGGTTTTCCACGTTGCACCGGTATTTCTTCAGGTCACTCTTACAGGACTTGGCCAACGAGTAACTGACTTTATAATCCTGGGCAATCAGCTTCTGGCGGGTTGTCAGTGCTTCCCGACACTGAGGAAAGAGCGCAGGGAGACACCTGTAGACCATTCCCATGGCTCCCGTGTGTACTTCCGAGAGCGCAGTCAGCAACTGCAGCTGCTGCCAATACGCCTACCTGCAAGCTTGGTTACAACACAGCACGAGTGGGCAACCCATCCAGGACCTCTCCTGTGTCTCAGGAGCTATTCCTATGTCCTATTCCTAGTCTACATAAATTTTCCTACTTTTTATTTTTCAGGATCTTGCTATGTAGCCAAGGCTGGCCTTGAACTTACAGTGATCCTCCTACCTCAGCCTCAAGGGCTGAGATTACAGGCATGCACCACCACGCCCAGCAATTTCCCCACTCTTAACCACCAAAAAAAAAAAAAAAAAAAAGCGCAAGTGTGCTAAATTAGTATAGTGTAGGAAGAGGTGGGAGGACATGGATGAAGAACTCTGAAATTCTACAGTGAACTGCTGACTGATGCCACAAGAGCAGCTGTTCTGAACACACAAACATTCTGGGTAGCCTAATGCACTCGTGTAACACAAAGCAGCCTTTTTCTCTGTGACTGTATTCCTAATATAAACTGCACCAGAATAAAACTGACAAGGGGGATGGACACTGGAGATGCTCCATTTTATACTTAGGTCAGACCAACACATTTTGGCTTGCTACTTAAACTCTGAAAAAGTATTGCTTTTTCTTTCTTTTTTTTTTTTTGGTACCAGGGATTGAACTCACAACCTCTCACTTGCCAGGCAGGCACTTACACCACTGAGCTAAATCCCCAGACCAAAGTATTGCTTTTACTCAGTCATCTATATTTTGATATAGTCAATCTCTGCATCTGCAAAAATATTAAAAATATTTATGGGAAAGGAAGATGTGCTTGCACTAAGACAGATTTTTCTTCTTTGTCCTTAATCTCTAAATAGTACAGTATGGCAACTATTTAAACAATACTTCCATTGTATTAGGTTTTGTAAGTAATCTAGAGATGATTTAAAATACATGTGACATTCAGTGTACATAGGTTATATATAAATATTGTGCCTTTTTTTTTTTAATCGGTACCAGGGATCGAACTCACAACCACCTGCTTGCAAGGCAGGTACTTATGCCGCTGAGCTAAATCTCCAGCCCCTTATTGTGCCATTTTTACACAAGGAACCTCAGCATTCTTGGATTTTGGTATGTATCGAAAGTTCTAGAATCAAGTCCTTGTAGACACTGTGAGATGACTATAAATTTGTGAATGCTTGTAAGAAATTAATAAAATACTAATTTGTTCAAAGAAATACCTTTTCGCTCATGGATTCTTCAAATTTATGGTTGAAGAGGCATTTATACACTCTGCCTTCACCAGCTTGGGTCTGCAAGATGAAACATGCATATTATTATTACTCTCTGCTGAGCAGTTATGCTGTACACAATCCACACGCCTTTGTGGAACCTTCTATTAAATACACTGGTAGAAAAGCAAGTGAAAGTGTCAGTCTCCTTTCTCATACCTTTATGCTAGAGTCATGAGCCTTTAAGTCAGAAATCAAGGATTTGGTTTTAAAAGTTAAAACCTGCTGTTTTCTTCATTTTAGCCAAAACTATGTATATGTGTTAGCCACAGAATAAATCAGAACAGGATTCCCTAGTAAAGCAAGATTCCTAAAGATAAAATAGACTTCTAAGAACTAAAATTGAGAAGTGAGATAAAATAGAAAAAAAACGCGTGGAATTGGAGAAGCCAACTGTTAGCTCTATGTTAAATCTTTGAGGCTGAGCATCCGATACTATTTTCTGTCATCTTGGGACCAATTCCACCTTCCATTTCAGTAGCTTTTCCACAGCAAGAGTTTGCGATGGTTTATGTTATTTTGGAACAGAGTACTAAAGATGTTTAAAAAGAAAGGGAAGAAAAGAAGAACAGCTTCTGAGCTGACTCACATTTTCACAAAACCTCTCACGATCATCTCGGCATGCGAAATACAAATGCCGGTCTAGATGAAAGTCGTCTGAGGACAGCTCGGCCACGCGGAGAATGGCTTTCTTACATTGCTCCGAGACCTGGACCTTGGGTTCTTTCTCTTCTGCCTCCTTCACCAGGCCTTTCTCCAAGCATGACACCACCTCGCCTTGAGAATGCGCATCCTAGAAGAGCAAGGACACTTACATTTTATAACTTTTTTAAAAAGCAGAATATATTTATTGAGAGAAAGAAAGCTTCTGTCTGAGAGAGAGACAGCAGGGGTCCCCAGTGGGTTGACAAAAACTCTGTCTTTTCTAGGGACTTTTATCAAGTAGAGCCACAAAGTGAGGTAGGTCTAAGGTGCGAAAAACAGGCATGAGGTGGGACAGGACCATGGTCCATATTTTATAACTTTTACTATGTGGGTTTCAAATTTTGTTACAGGAAAAAAACCAACATATTGTTAACTTACTGATGTTCTACTGAGAAATCAAGTGAAAAATCAAATGTGTGGAAGTTAAAGAAAATAGCCTCAATAATCTGTTAGAATATACATGCCATATGCTACAAACGCAATAAAGATCCTGAGAATTTTAAGTATAGGTTAGCACCAAAAGTAAGAACCTGCATTTTTAAAGCTTAAATGTCAGAAGATTCTTAAGAAATGACATCAGCTCTGTGCAGGCTGTGTCAGTCCTGAAGTAACACTGCACAAATCTGAGTTTTCCTCTAAGAGCTAGGCATTTCCTAACCAGTGCTTTCAGTCATGTTAAAAACAAACCAACAGAGCGGCATGATGGTGCATGCCTGTAACCCCCGCACTCCAGAGACTGAGGCAAGAGGATCTTCACAAGTTTGAGACTATCCTGGGCTACAAATTTAGCTCAAGACCAGCCTGAACTGCATAGCGAGACCCTGTATCAAAAACACAAACAAACAAAAACACCAACAAACCTAGCTGGGGAATGTGGCTCAGTGGTACGGTATGTGCTTAGCATGTGCAAGATCCTACATTCGATCCCCAGTACCAAAAAATAATTTAAAAAATAAGAAACCCAAAATAAACCCAAAATCCATTGACAAAGGACTATTAAGTCCTTATTAAGACTCCTTATCTCCTTTTCTACTCTCCTATTTTCAAGCTCCCCAGTATGTACCAACTGGAGTGCAGTATTTTGATGTTCTGAATTGATCTGAAGATGATTCAGTAAGACTATTACTTGTTAGGCATGGTGGTGCACACCTGTAATACCAGCACTCAGGAGGCTGAGGCAGAAGGATCTCGGCAAATTTGAGGTCAGCCTGAATGACACAGCAAGACCATCTCAAACAAAACTATCATCATCTATATCAACTGCTTCTGAAAGTTTTTCTAAAACCGTTCAATTGAATTGTACAGTATATCATCCTGTAGCAACCATAAGCATTCCTTAGTATGTACCAGAAGAAAGTTCTCCTATGTAGTTTCAAAGGCTCTAAACTTCTATGCTCATAAGACATATTACACCTGCATGAGAAGTATAACCTTTAATATAGATTAAACCAAAATAACTGAAAACACAGTGGTACTACCTATTTGCATGCACATAAAATATTGTTATTGAAAATACGAATCTGTGAAACTACAAGTATATAATAAAAGATTCCTAAAGCCAGATAGGAAAGCATGTATTTCTGGCAAAACTTCAGTGAACATTTGTATTTTTTTTTTAATTTACTGTAATTCAACTGGTTCTATAACACATTAATTTCCAGGTGTATTCATGAAAATATTCATCTCAGCACTGGAAATATAGCTCAGTGCCAAAACACCTGCTGGTCAAGCACAAGGTCATGAGTTCAATCCCTGGATGTTTGCCTTTTCTCCTAATCCCGCTATGAAGAGGGGACAGGAAGTTGTAGTATCCACCGTGCAGATGAATGAGCAGAGGCTCTGGAGTTACACAACCCAACCGAGCTGCGGAATGTGAAGCAGCTAACTCTCTACCATTCATCTTTCCGTTCCCCGGTTTACTTTGGGTGGGTGAAACTGCTTGAATTTTATATGGGGTTTTGTACATTTTCCTGAGGACTGTTCATAGTTTTGTTTTCAGAAGGCCTGCAGACCAGAAGTGAGAGGCACACTGCACTGGCAGATGCTCAGACCTCCCTACTCTAGCAGGGCCTGCATCTTCCTCATTGGGTGGAGGAGTTTATCCAATGCATATAATGGGATGACCAAAGAGTGCTTTGGGAAAGAAATAACAAAACAAGGAAACGGAGAGTAGATACCCCAGAAATCTGCAGTAAGACTTACTGTTTTCTTCCTAATTTATGAGTACCACTTAAACAAGGCCTACACATTTCTATCTCTGAAAGAAACAAATCAAAGGTAAAGATCTCAAGGCTGAGGATTTAGCTCAGTGGCAGTAAGTGCCTGCCCGGCAAGTACTAGGCCATGTGTTTGATTATTGGTACAAAAAAAAAAAAAAAAAGACAGAAACGTAACAGCCACTTATTAGTTATAGTACATTAGTGATTAGTATACACATTATGATATAATAACATCCTACTCCAAATTTTAGTAGCTTCTAAAAACTTAGATGGCCACTAGCAATTAAACTTCTTCCAATTTTTAAGACTTTAAATCTTGACCACCAATAATAAAGTATAAAACATCTACAGAACCACACTTTTGGCTGTAAGAATGAAAAGCAAAGTCTTGTGTTTTTTTCATCATTAGCTCTGACAGACTGGATCATACGGGAAATCACTGCTATAAAGCATCAAAAGGTTAAAAATAATAATATGACAGTCAATCTTGATTGAAGTTCAACCTTTAATCTTGGCATTTTATAAAAGGTAAGGAAATGATTTCCATGTCATGAGTCTGCTAAGTATATATTTAGGGTTTGTAATTGTTTTAAATACGCCATCAGAAAGATTAAATATTTAAGATACTATGTTTCTTAATGATTCTATTAGCTGCTTCTTCTTCTTCATATTATTATTAATATTGTTATTATTATTATCTTTTTGAGACAGGGTCTCCTATGCAGTTCAGGCTGGCCCTGAGCTCACTTTGTAGCCCAGGATGGTCTCAAACTTGCAATGATCCTCTTGCCTCAGCCTTCCGAGTGCTGGGATTACAGGAATGTGACACCATGCCCAGCTGTGCCATTTGCTTATTAGATTTAAGGGATTTCATTTTAATTAGAGCATTGCAACACCTCACATTGGCATAAGGTGACAACATCCCTTCCATTAAATCTGTTCATTGTGTATTCAAATAGATCTTTTTTTTTTTTCAAATAAAGACAGTTCAGGGGCCCGGGATTTACCTCAGCGGCTAAGCACCCGCCTGGCAAGCACGAGGTTGTGAGTTCAATCCCAGTACCAACCTCCCCCCTACTCCAAAAAAAAGACAGTTCAGGAATTCTTCCAGAGCCTCTGAGCCATTTGTTTTACCCATTTTAGTTAAACAACCAAATATATAAAAATGGGCTGAGGATACAGCTCTATGGCATAGCACCTGCCTGGCAAGCACAGTCATGAGTTCAACCCTCAGTACCATAAATAAATAAATACATATATACATAGATGTGAACACTTAACAATCAAGGCTACGAGACGGGGAGAACATGGCGGACAGACAACAGCAACTACTGAACGCTCTCTAAAGGCTCGGCTCAGAGGCCAGGAATGATGCGGACTAAGGAGATACGAACCAGTAGAGATATGCTCTGCTGACTCAGGAACGAACTGGGCTGAGAGAATCCAACTTGGAATACAGTCCTGGCGCTAAAATAGGAACAGAAAAATCTCGGTGTGGAGGCTCGACTCCGCGCCATTGGAAACCGCGGTTTGGATTTCCCGCCGCCCGGCGACCGGCTGCCTCCATAGCGGCTCGGCAAGGAGAGACACGCAGAGGCTTGGAAACGGGAGTCTGCGAACGGAGTCGGAAACGCGACGGACAGGGAGGAAGGCTGACTGGTGGCGAGGTGAGCGAGGAACTGACTCCCTACCGCAGGTTGACTCCAGCGGAGGTTTTTCTGGGCGCGGGCAGTCCTGTAAGAGCAGGGCGCGGTGGCAACTGCAGCCGCACGTTTCCCTCTCGGACGGGATTGGTGAAAGGTGCCTGACCGGAGGGACGCTGCTAGCGGACTCCCTAGGCTGGCCTAACCCAGATCCCAGAGCCTGACGGTGGCCCGGAGGAGCGACCGACTCCCGCGTAGGCTGCCTCCTCTGCAACTCCCTGGGGTGCAGCGGTGGGCGGGAACAACTAGCCAGCGCAATTTGATCAAGCTGTGGCTGACAGGCAGGGAAGCCGGGCCTCCTGTGTAAGATTACATTTTATAAGGAACAGAAAATATGGGGAAGGGAAGCAACAAAAAAGGCTCCTCGGCCCCCAATCCTGAGAATCAGGCAGTGGACACTGCACCAATATACATTAAGCGCCATTTAGAGAGCCTCATAGACCAATTCAGGAATGAAGTTATCAATGACCTGAAGCTAGAAGTATGCAGAATAGTTAGAGAAATGCTAAGTACCACCCAGGAAAAAGCAGATGGTGGAATGGAAGAACAGAAAAAGAGGGGAGAATTGCTTGATGGAGAAAACAGAGAAAGCATTGAGTATGTGAAGCAGGTGCAAAGGGACTATCAAGAAATTAAGAAGTCTACCCAAGACTGGCATAACAGCTTGAAAGAAACTAAGGACAGACTATCTAAATTGGAGGGCAGACTTGAAACATGGGAGAATGAAATGAAAAACTTCTTAAAAATAACAAAGAAACACACAGCAATAATACAAAGACAAGAAGATGATAAGAGGAGCCATAACTTAAGGATTAAGAACATAAAAGAAGAAGTAGGGACACAAACAAGTGAACTACAAAAGCTACTCACAGAAATAATCCAGGAGAATTTTCCTAATTTAGCAAAAGGTAAAGATACTCAAATGTATGAGGCATACAGGACCCCAGCTACCTACAACCCTAACAGAGAAACACCCAGGCATATAATAATAAAAATTCCAGAAATTCAATACAAGAACAGAATATTAAAAGCTGTAAGAGACAAGAAACAGATCACTTACAAGGGAAGACCCATCAGAATTACAGCAGATTTCTCTTCACAAACCATCAAATCATGAAGAGCATGGGGAGAAATAATTCAAGCTTTGAAAGATAATAATCTACAGC